AGAGAGAGAGAGAGAGAAAGAGAAGTTTCCAAAAACAACAATTATCTCTCTAAATATTATAATATTCCCTAGTCCCCCCACTCACTAACTCAGTACCATCAAACTATATATAATCACCACTTTGAATCACCCAAGGCAACAAACCAAACCAAAACCACCATAAGCTAACAAACAAACAAACACAGAACAGAGAGAGATGTTTTCAGATCACTTACCTTCTTCATCTCAAGTCTTCCAAGAACACTTCATCTCCAGAAAATTGCTTCAGCAGTTTCATCACACCACTACTCAACAAGCTCATGTACCTGATAGGAACAACTTGAGCGGCAACGTTCTCCTGCTGCTCTCTATCCTTTTATGTGGTATCATCTGCTCTCTCGGGTTGCATTACATCATTCGCTGTGCATTCAGACGCTCTCGAAGTTTCATGATCTCTGATCCCATCTCTAGCCCCTCCACACCACGAGGTTCAGAGGAAGTAAGCAAAGGGATCAAGAAGAAGGCTCTCAAGATGTTCCCAGTAGTCAATTACTCACCAGAGATTAACCTCTCAGGGCTCGGCGAGGAGTGTGTCATCTGTTTGTCTGATTTTGCTGCCGGAGAACAGCTACGTCTGCTTCCCAAGTGCAATCACGGTTTCCACGTTCGCTGCATCGACAAATGGCTTAAGCAACATATGACTTGTCCGAAATGCAGACACTGTCTGGTTGAGACATGCCAAAAGATCTTAGGTGACTGCGATGAAGCTGATCAAGTGCCAGCGACCCCAACTGAGAGCATAAGTATTAGAATTGCTCCTCTAGAACCTGAAGCAAGAGTAGCCACTTTTAGAGAAAGCAGCTAGAGTATGCCAACAAACAATCATATTTCCAGAATATGGTTCCCCAGCAAGATTATAGATTTTTAGATTTGAACACAATTTATGTCTCTAGCCATAGGATTTCAAAACTAAATACACCAGAGTTTTTTTTTATTTGCATTTTGTTGTGCCTGAAGCCCAAAGTGTACAGAGAATATACCTTAAGGCTTTCCTAGGAATCATAAGTTCATCAGACTTATCTTTTTTCATTTTGGGCGGAATCTGATTCTTAACTCCTTTGCAATACTCACAGTCACAGCCAAGGCTAGCTATTGAAATCGTCATCTGCCAATAAAAGTTTGATAAATGCTTTTCAGAGAATTCCTCTGCGTATCCAAATCACAATCACAGGGTAGACGTACTAAGTACCCACTACTTTTGAAGGTCTTAAAAGAAATGGTTTTGATGAAGCTCCTGACACCAAAATCCAAAACCACAGTCATTACAAACAGTACTAAGACTACAAATGCGATATTGGTCTGGTCTAATTGGTCAGATTCATTCACCAACTTGGTACATTATAGCTAAATCCCCATTCGACCCACAGTAAGTTATCTTGGTAAAAATAAATAAGGGATTCTTCCTCGCAATGATAAAAAAAGTAAACTCGGTGTGTTTTGAAAAGGGAAATGGACCCAACGCATAACAAGGTCAAACTAACCCACCTAAGTCTGTGGTTAATAGTCAAACCTAAAAGCTACTTTGAGGAATGCTTATAGTATTCTAAGACATCAGGCAACACCAACATGGTATGGGATCATAATGGAAAGCTCCACTTAAACAATCTATCGTTTTTCTATAACAAAGAAGGAGCTGCCGAAAGTGATAACACATGTCTATTGGCCTATGCATATATGCTATTGCTATGGCGTGTCTATTGGCATTGATCTGCAATTACATACTCAAAATCCAATTAGTAGTAATTTAAAACCAAGATAAGAGACAAAACATTTCCATCCAATTTAACGAACATGGCTAGATTTCCAAGCATCTATGTGACTCAGTGACCGTCTTGAGAATACCTCAACTAAGAGAAGTTGACGTCTAAGGAATTCTAAATAGTGTTCTCTTATTTTACAAAAAATGCTTGATATCTTATCCCAATCTTTAACAGATTCTCCTAATATCAAACTCCCCGTCCTGAAACTGAAACAAATCCGAGGCATATATTGTTCAAAACCATCTAAATAAAGTTGGAATCCGTAACCCTCAGTAAACTATTAATAACTGATCATTATTAGCAGCATGCTGAGATTATGTTTTCTATGTCACTGTGAGATCTTGGAATCCTGCAGTTTAAAAGGGAACAAGATTTCATAAACAAAAGGAGCTCCAGATAAAGCTCCAAGATCCTAGTCACTTGTGATTGGATGGGAAATAGATAAAGTGCCAGGCAAAAATATATTTTACACTGCCCTATAGTAAGAAGTGGAAGCTTAAGAGCGAATAAGGCTTTGCATAAAAAAGAAGTTTCATTGGTTAACAACATAAGAATGTGACTTACAGGTAATACAGGTCCACTATACATCTGAGAGATACGAGATGGTATCAAATCAAATTTTGTCATATACCATACTCCGAGGGGGAAATTGCAACAAAATGTAAGAAGCAAGACTATGTAAGACAGAAGCATTACTAGGCACAAAGTAAAATCTGATTGTAGCTGTGAAAGAGATGGTTTTAAATAGTATCATAGAGCTTTATGCAAAGCCCTCGTTTCTGGACTAAAAACTTGGATCAATAAGAAGATTCATATCTGAACTTTTGGATTTAATGGCAATTAGAGATTCACATAATTCAGAATCGTGCAAATAAAAAATGGAAAAAGTCTGTCGGCATACCATTGTAGAGGATAAAGGTGGACACAAAGGTTGTGCCAACACATCTAAACACCGCAAGAAGTTCTCTACATATAAGAAAAAGGAATGATTAGTGGGAAAGATTGATAAAATATCCTACTGACAAAAAAGTTCACCAAATGAACATCAATGAGAAATGGAATTGAAAGGTAATGAATAGGTCCCACGAAAGACAAGTCAGAGGAGAGAACATCAACAATGAATTAGACAAAGAATTAAAAGAGATAAGAGCTCTGTATTAGAGAACTGTATAGCACAAGAAGAAATTTAATTAGTGTGCTCCTGAAATTAGTTACGTGGCTCTTCAAACACATTTTAATCAAATGCATCCACAAAAAATGTTCCAAAGACTACTTATCTCGTTGACCAAAGAAAAATACTACTTATCTCAGACTCATTCGACGAGATACAGTGTATTAATACAACTTAACTAATGCTTCAGGCTTTCAACTACTCACATCTTATTGCTCTTTCTATATTCCTTTATTTTATAATCACAAGGTAGGAAAACCACCAAATCAAGAATGTCAACCAAAGAATACACGAGTATCACATGGTATTCTTAAGCACCATAAAGCAATAAAGGCAAAGTTTATCACTTTCAGGAAGGGATAAAAAACAGACCACTATATGTTCTTACCAGCTATATGGAACCTAGTGGCATAAACAAAAGAAAATACAAATCATTTTCAGATAGACTTACAGCCTTTCTGTAATTTTCAAGAGAGAGACTGGTGAGAAAGGATATATCTCCCCTGCTTTGCCAACATCAACAAATTGGCAAAAATATAAAAATTTACGGCAAACCAATGCTTAACGAAACCATTATCAAGTAATAAGACTAAAAGTAACTTTACATCTTCATCCAAAATTCTTGCTTTAGTTACGAGCAACAGTAAGACGTTCTAGACTCATGTAGAGTGCACTGTCAATTTATAGTAAAAGACAACATATCCATAAAGTAGGGGAAAGGAAATTATATAAATCACTTGCTTTAGCTATGATTTAAATCATATGTACGAGACTGGCTTAGAGAAAGGAGCGGAGCTGGACACTAATTTAGAGTGATCTTTATTGATAAAAGTAGCCTTTAACAGGTATCATGCAAGGGGATTTTTGCCTTCTGGCTGCTAACAACTTTGGTTGACGGACAAGACAGGCTTCCTGTTTTTCCAAACAAAAGACCAAAAACTGTAACAAAAGAAGTTGAAATTTGAGGTGAATAAGGAATTGTCTACGTCAAGTTATCTTATCTTATAAGACGCTAGATCCAAGTGATGAACAAACAGCAAAATACCATACAATAAAAAGATACAGTGTATGGAGATGTAACAAGAACTCAATTCATAAGCAACAAGAACTACACATGAAGCCACTAACCTCAACTTTCATTAACATATGAATTTGCTTTAAATTTATGTACAACCTAACCACAAAAACCATATCAAATAACTTATATGGGAAATTTTTAGATCTACATCAAAGAAACTCAGCATAGATGGATGTCACTGCATAATTTTTATTAGAAGTCCGGATGATTAGGAATGAACAGAGAGGCCAGTGACATGAACCAAGACCAAAATATGTCAAATCTAAATACTATCCCAAAGATGGAAAGTTCATGGCTGCTCTAGCTAAAGCTCATGGGTCCCTGTAAGCAATTCTTGGTGATTTGATTTGCAAAAGCCACTGCCACATGTCACTACCATTGCGCAAATGGTATGATGGGCCCATTTTCAATAAGAAAGCACACTAAGATTATACAAATTCAGTGGAGAATCCATGAAAGATGCAGACTATAAAAATAAAATGAAACACTAAAGGACCTTGCTAATTTTGCTAGCGTATTCCACCAACCATACTTCAGAAAATATAACTAAATTAATTTCCCATTAAATTTTAAAAAGTATATGGAAACCTTTAGCTTTCCACTATATATAGAACCTGCAGCAACAACCTAGATGATCTATCTATCTAACTCTTCAAACTAGGTTATCATGCCGACTGCAACTTCTGCTTTCATTACCAAACAAACTGAGCTCTTCCAAGATATTCGTGGAGAGTTTTACTCAAGAAGACTACTACTCCATACAGCTTACCAGCCACCTATCACAGCATCACCGCCGTTTGCAGACGCTCATGAAGCATCACACTCCTACACAAGTCATATGAGCTTTGATGCAAATGTTGTCATGGTCCTATCAGTCCTCTTATGTGCACTAGTTTGCTCACTTGGACTGCATTCAATCATAAGATGTGCACTGAGGTACTCCAATTTATTATCATCTGAAGCTAGTGACGAGCTTGCAGTTCGCTTCGCCAACACAGGAGTCAAACAAAAAGCCTTAAAGAGTTTCCAGACGGTAAGCTACACTGCAGAACTGCAGTTGCCTGGCCTAGATACAGAGTGTGCCATATGTCTCTCGGAGTTTGTATCCGGAGAGCGAGTCAAGCTTTTGCCAAAGTGCCACCATGGATTCCATGTCCGGTGTATAGACAAGTGGCTCAGTTCACACTCATCGTGTCCCACCTGCAGACACTGCCTCATTCAGACTTGTAAAAAGATAGCTGGATGCAGTACGACGGCATCATCACCTAATCAGCAACAGAACGTGCATATAGCACCACTAGGACCGGAATCATTGATACACGGTTTTCGCTGAACACAGTCAACTACGCTTAACTAGGCTTAGGTGCAGTTATGTTGTAAAACTTGATATATATGTACTACACACCTTTAGAATTAGTCGAATCCCAAATTATCAGCAGTTCAATGTTCAAAAAAACTTTATCATTTCCACTGTAAAGTTTCAAACATTATGACATGTTGTTTTCTTCACTCTTAAATGCCTAAAACTGTACATTCCAATAGAAGATCTTAGACTCACGTGAGTAAATGAAATTATAAACAACTCAAAAACCAAAGATAAGGAAGCTGAGAAGGCAAAACACTTCAAACCAACGAGTTAAGTGGGGGCACCAATCAACTTGGTCAACTAAGAGAATTCCTTAATCTCCCAGCTCTAAGCAATTCCCAGGTTATTAAAACATGCTATGCCACTAGTTTCTTGTTTGATAGTGATTATCATATTGATTAATACCAAGCTATGTAGAATAAATAAACTAGCCCTCCATAATAGAAGACCTTTCTTGTTTTTCTTTACCGACCTATAAGTACATTGAGTAGGCTATGATGATGATCAGACAATAAAAAAAATGTGACAAACTAAGCCACAAAGAATTCTCAAGACCCCACAAGATTAAAAGGCTTTGATATAATCCACCCAAAATGAAAACACCGCGTAGATTAAGAAACGGCATAAAGTAAAATGGAATCTGAGCATGAAAACCACCGCAGAGTCAAATCAGATGATCATAAATAAAATGAAATGGGAGGTTTAAGATATTGTACTAATCATAGAAAGTAAAAATGGTACGATAAATTAACAACCAGTATCAGTGATGTCAAATATCAACAATCTATTCTACCAAATCGAGCTCGCAGATTCTGTACCTTTTAAGAGCCAAAAGCAATCATTTAGCACTCAAAACGAAAGAGAGATGGAGAGCAGTAAATGTAACAGTAGTGTGGTTTATACTGCCCCTAAATAGACAACCTTTGGAATATATCGAGAGACACAACTACAGGTTAAAACTAAACATACATCATCAGACCATATTTTCCAAAGTCCAGTGGTGTCCAAATCCAACTTACATTCTATTATACAATGAAAAAAAAATCTATATACTATACTTCCAATTGAATTAATTGAAAACCATAGCAAGATGCACAATAACAAAATTAAAAATCGAATACATCAGTTCTGAGATGCAGAATGCTACACACACACAACATGTACGAAAACCCTAGACGTGCCAACGAATTTCGAAACACGCATCATTCCTACAGCCTAGCAGCAGACGGGATCAGTGAGAATGTAAACTGTTTGAGATTCGCCCTAACCAAATTCAACCTAGTGAGAATTGGGTGAAATTGTCTTGAGAACTCCAGACGAGATTCAAATGAAATTGCAAAAATTAGGCTCTATAAAAAGTGGAGTTTGGTACCTCAATCGTTGACGAAGATCGAATTGGAGCTCTGAACTCTGAAGAGTGAAGATCATCACTTCTCTACTACATTGGCGCCAACAGTTTTTCAGTAGTCTAGGCAACTAGACCAATTAGAGTTGTTCCGGGTCATGTATAAATGGGCCTATAGATAAAAACCCATAATAAGTAAAAAAAAAAAAGATAAAGCCCATCATGACGGTTTTGTCCATTGTTGATCATATTTGGGATGGTTAGCCTAAATATAATCACCTAAAAACAAATAAAATGGTTAGCTCAAAGATATGATCCATGTAATAATTGACTAACTTTAATAATTCAGCTATATATTATCATTCATTATGTAAAAGTGCATCATACCTCAAAGTAATATCAGTTTTGTCCCCAAACAAACAAAAAAAGGAGAAGTAATATCGGTTATTAATGTTATCAAACTAATTTTGGAACCATTTTCTTGTTAATTTACTTTATATATCTAAGTATCTAACTATTTTAACGTTCAAATTTACTAAATGTGTTAGTGAAAAAATGTGATTAAGAACTTTATTGTGGGTCGACCGTCGATGAATATATTCATCTCTAGCAGTTTTGCAAGTAGGGTTTAATTAACGCATTTTGAATATAGGTAATATAGATCCATAATCCAGAAAAGAAAGAAAACTTTATGGGTGGATTGTGGTGCACCACTACTAGTAAAGTTGAGAAAAGCTAGATCTCTGGGATCAAGCAAAAACCATTTTAATTTACACATACCAAATCCAGAAAAGAAACTAACCTTAATTGACTTTTCTCCAACAAAAGATATGAACGTGGCCTGCCATATATATATATATATGTAGCTTTATAATTTTTTTTAAAAAACACATGAACGTGGTCTGGCCTGCCTTACATAACCCAAATAATTAATAAGTGAGAATTAAATGTAATCATAATAGTAGCAATGTACAATGTGAATATGTCACAGAAGTAGTTTTTTTGTTCGTAATGATGGACACAACGTTTTCGTAGGTGCCAGCCTTCATCTTCCCACATTCTTCTTTATCTCTCTCCCTATCTCTCTCACCTGGTACGATTGTAACCGGCACGTGCCTTTCACGTGGATCGCCAAAAAGTTGACTTTTTCAGTTTTAAATCAATCTCTCAACAAACATTAAAAAAAAAGGTTATGATGTGATGATGAATGATTTAGTTTGCATTTTTTTCATTTTTCTTATTAGAACTTGAGGATTGTAATGTTAGTATATTGTCCATGTCTTTCACAGTTTCACTTACCGTAACCGCAAGATGATTCGATCTTAACTACGCCGTACGTTTATATGATCAGTTTTGTAAGCTAACTAGATGGGATCCAATCATCTAATACACAAAATCACAATATATGCGTCGGTCCACTTTCTATACTAATCGCATACGTTACCTCACTGTATGTATATAGTTAACTATATTTCGTACTATATTCTATTTATAGACAAGGCTAGGTGGTAATAATACAAGGCTCCATGAAAAAAGTGCAATTCAACAACAAATGGTATCTCAAATATATCGATAAGTATCTCAGGTATAGTCTTATCGTGTAAGACCATCCTTCAAGGTGGAATAAGATATTTTCTTTGCAAAATTTAAAGTTAAGATCCCACTTTTACAGATGTCCTAAGACAAGTTTTAACACTTCTTAGATTAATCTGGCAGATGGTATATATTGGTATATCTCAACTCAACATATTAGTTAGACATTGTATTTACGATAAAGAACTATATAATAAGATGAACAACTATAATGTGTGGGTCAGCATATATAATGAACTCACCACAATATCGTTTTGACGAGTTCGGAGGTAGTAGCCATTAGTTTAATACAAGTATAATCGTGAATAGTGAATACGATGAAATAGTATCTTCTAGCTAAGTATTCTATATATATCCGTAAGCAGCAGCACATCATGAACGTCACTTTCTTTCACGGTCTGATATATATATATTAATATTCCCCTCTCACGAATTAATTATGATCCAAATCCTAAATATAAAACGAATTAAATTACGTTGAATTTTATGAAAATTCCTAATTTGTGAACAAGCCAACCACGACGACTAGCTTTGGCCTGGATTTGACTCGGTTTAAGTTTAGCAGCCTAAAAGAAAAAGAAGAAAAAAGAATGGAGCTGTCATTTTACGCGAGCCGGTCACAGTCATAGAGCCACCTCAGCAAAACAATTAATCTTGAAAGAAAGATCCAACGGCTGAGATGTTTAATTAAGGGTATTAATCAGCTAACACGAGGGAAAAGGCTGTCTGACAGCCAGGTCACGTTATCTTTTCCTGTGGTCGAAATGATTCGTCTCTGTCGATTTATTATTATTTTTTGAAAGGCCGAAATAAAAAGTTTGTAGAGGATAACACCCGCCTATATAAATTCATATATTTTCCTCCTCTTTGAATTGTCTCGTTGTCTCCCCTCAGTTTCATCGGCCGTTCTCTGTATCTCCGGCGACTTCAAGAGAGAGAGAGAAGGAAGAAGAAGATAAAGTGAGAGAATAAGCCAAGGCTTCTTTCTCTTGTAGATCGCCTTGTTTTCTTCTTCAATCTCGTCTTCTTCCGCTTTTCTCCATCTTTCTTTCAACAAGGTAAAAATGAACTCTCTGGATCTACTTTATATGTTGCTGGATCTCGATCTTGTTTTTTTTGAATTTCCTAGAGATCTGGAATTGCTTCGATTTGGATCTATAAAATCTTTTGATTTGACTTGAATCGATTTCAGTTGACCGATCATCTTTAGCTCAAATCCACCGGGATTTTTTTCTTGACTTTGATCTGATTAGGGATAGATCCATAGTCAGATTACTGTTACGTTTGTGTTTTAACATTTCTTTTTAGTTTCGTCTCTAATTATCTGGGAAATTATTTGTAGACGCCATTTGAAATCTGAACTGTTAAGGTTTAGATTGAATCTGAACTTTAAGGTTAGATGAAGTTTTGAGTGCGGAATCTATTGATTGAGGGATTTTACTGAAAATTATGTGTTCTTCTTTACATGGATGTGTTGTAGTTGCAAGATTATCTGTCATAGGATTAAGTTGAAATTTGAATCTATCAGGGTGTGTACCTTTGATTCAGTCGGGATTCATTTCACTGTATTAACTTCTTTGTGTGTTTGCAGCTTCATATAAAATGGCTGAGGCTGATGACATTCAACCCATCGTCTGTGACAATGGTACTGGAATGGTGAAGGCCGGATTTGCCGGAGATGATGCTCCCAGGGCTGTTTTCCCAAGTGTTGTTGGTAGGCCAAGACATCATGGTGTCATGGTTGGGATGAACCAGAAGGATGCCTATGTTGGTGACGAAGCACAGTCCAAGAGAGGTATTCTTACCTTGAAGTATCCGATTGAGCATGGTGTTGTGAGCAACTGGGATGATATGGAAAAGATCTGGCATCACACTTTCTACAATGAGCTCCGTATTGCTCCTGAAGAGCACCCAGTTCTTCTTACTGAGGCTCCTCTTAACCCAAAGGCCAACAGAGAGAAGATGACCCAAATCATGTTCGAGACCTTTAACTCTCCAGCTATGTATGTCGCCATCCAAGCTGTTCTATCCTTGTATGCCAGTGGTCGTACAACCGGTTAGTACATATTAGGCTTTTCTCTCTGTGTTTATACTCATTTTTCAATTTCAAACTGAGCTCTGATTGTCTTCAATTGAACAGGTATTGTGCTGGATTCTGGTGATGGTGTATCTCACACTGTGCCAATCTACGAGGGTTTCTCTCTTCCACATGCCATCCTCCGTCTTGACCTTGCTGGTCGTGACCTCACTGATTACCTCATGAAGATCCTTACCGAGAGAGGTTACATGTTCACCACAACAGCAGAACGGGAAATTGTAAGAGACATCAAGGAGAAGCTTTCCTTTGTTGCTGTTGACTACGAGCAAGAGATGGAGACCTCAAAGACAAGCTCTTCCATCGAGAAGAACTATGAATTACCAGATGGGCAAGTCATCACGATCGGTGCTGAGAGATTCAGATGCCCAGAAGTCTTGTTCCAGCCCTCGTTTGTGGGAATGGAAGCTGCTGGAATCCACGAGACAACCTACAACTCAATCATGAAGTGTGATGTGGATATCAGGAAGGATCTGTACGGTAACATTGTTCTCAGTGGTGGAACCACTATGTTCTCCGGTATTGCAGACCGTATGAGCAAAGAAATCACAGCACTTGCACCAAGCAGCATGAAGATTAAGGTCGTTGCACCACCTGAAAGGAAGTACAGTGTCTGGATCGGTGGTTCCATTCTTGCTTCCCTCAGCACATTCCAGCAGGTAAAAATTGACCGGAGCTTTTTCGATTCATCCTTGTTTATAATTTGCAAATTTAATCAAATGCTGAGTATTGTATATTTGTGTTCTGTAGATGTGGATCTCCAAGGCCGAGTATGACGAGGCAGGTCCAGGAATTGTTCACAGAAAATGCTTCTAAGCTCTCAAGATCAAAAGTTGGCTTATAAAGCTGGGTTTTATGAATGGGATCAAAAGTTTCTTTTTTTTTCTATTTGCTTCTCCATTTGTTTGTTTTATTTCCCTTTTTTTTGTTTTCGTTTTCCATGATGCACTTGTGTGTGACAAACTCTCTGGGTTTTACTTACGTCTGCGTTTCAAAACAAAACCGCTTTCGTTTTGCGTTTTAGTCCATTGTTTTGTTAGCTCGAGTGATCGAATTGATGCCTCTTTATTCCTTTTGTTCCCTATATAAATTTCTTTCAAACCTCAGAAGAAGAACCTTGAAACTCTTTGCAATGTTAATATAAGAATTGTATGAGATAAAAGATTTTATTGATTTGGTTTTGAGTATTAATTTGAGACCTCCATCTTCATCTTGGAATTGTTCTTCTAAATAGTTAAAGCGATACATGTTTTCCATTCAACTAGCACAACAAAGTCAGATAATTAAGTTAGCACCACTTTTTCATGTTTCAAGGTTTACACCTCAACTCAACTATTACGACTTGTGTCTTTTACATGATGCAAAATGTAACTTCATGTTGCAGGAACTTCCAATCGATCTTGTTACTTGTTATTATCAAAGCACAATTGTGTTATAATGTTGATGCCAAAAAGTCATCCTTGGGTCCTTTATTGATGCTACATTTGGGCTAATAGATTGGGCCTTACTAAGGCCACTTTAAAATAATTATTTAATTACGGAATATGAAAAAAACCAGGGATTCCAGCTTGAAATCTCCAATTAACCCAATCTTTCTCCTTCGCGTCTCTCTCCCATTTACAATTCTGCAAATTAGGGTTTAAGCAAGAAGAAGCTTGAGAAGTGTTCGATTTCTGCTGTTGGTTCTTCTTTACTTTGAGATTTTCAATAGTGCAATCGAAACCTCTGAAGATCCAAGATGGCTCGTAATGAAGAGAAAGCGCAGTCGATGCTCAACAGGTTCATCACCATGAAAGAATCTGAGAAGAAGAAGCCGAGAGAGCGTCGACCTTACCTTGCATCGGAGTGCCGAGATCTAGCTGAAGCAGACAAATGGAGGCAACAAATCCTTCGAGAGATCGGTAGCAAAGTGGCTGAGATTCAGAACGAAGGATTAGGCGAGCATCGACTTCGAGATCTAAACGACGAGATTAACAAGCTTCTCAGGGAGAGATATCATTGGGAGCGGCGAATCGTTGAGCTAGGTGGTCAAAATTACTCGAAACATGGGGCGAAGATGACAGATCTAGAAGGAAACATCATCGATGTACCGAACCCTAGTGGTCGAGGTCCTGGGTATCGTTACTTCGGTGCTGCTAAGAAGCTTCCTGGAGTTAGAGAGCTTTTTGAGAAGCCTCCAGAGCTGAGGAAGCGTAAAACGAGGTATGATATATACAAAAGGATAGATGCTAGCTATTACGGGTATAGAGATGATGAAGATGGTATTTTGGAGAGTTTGGAGAGGAATGCTGAAGGATTGATGAGGAAAAAATCGGTGGAGGAGTGGCGGAGATTGGATGAGGTTAGGAAGGAAGCTAGGAAGGGAGCTACCGAGGTTGTGAGTGTTGGAGCTGCAGCTGCTGCGGCGAAGCAGGTGTTGTTTGAGGAGGAAGAGGATGTGGTGGAAGAGGAGAGGATGGAGAGGGAGAAAGAAGAGGAGAAAGAGAGGGAATTTGTGGTGCACGTTCCACTGCCGGATGAGAAGGAGATTGAGAAAATGGTGTTGGAGAAGAAGAAAATGGATCTGCTTAGTAAGTATGCAAGTGAAGATTTGGTTGAGCAGCAGACGGAAGCTAAATCTATGCTCAATATTCATAGATAGAAAGGTGATAATATTTTCTTGCAAGGGTTAATCATCCATCTATATATGTAGTTCCTTTTGCAGTTCTTGATCAAAAGTTTGACTGATTTGTTGTGTTTTTAAGAAATTTTGATCAGTTTTTCTTAGAACTTGTTGATGATTTATATATTATTGCATCCTAAATTATGTTCCTAGAGAATTTACTTGTTCCTGATTTATATTTCCTTAGTCATGGTTATCCTTTTCAAGAGCATCATCAGCTTAGAGACCGTGAGTTGATATGAGCCAAATGTTTTGCAAGGTCTTTCCAGAGAGTATGATAAGGTTTTTGTCAAGTAATGTCATATAGCATGATCAGGGTATAGGAATATTCATTGAGGTGCATGATCATTTCTCTTCAATCAGTAGTTTCGCTGACCTGAGTAATTGACCTTGTATTGAAATTGTTATTAGTAGTACGCTTACATGTGGATTTGCGGCAACTGTTATTTCAATGGGCAAATACTCTGTAGAACCACTTTGGTATCCTCTCTTAAATGAAATCTTAGAGACTGATACATCTCTAATGCCTCTCAGTCTCAGATGCACTGTTTTACAAACATACTCTCCTGCGCTTGTCCCGTACCTACAGAAGGAATGAAGTTGGGCGTTCGGAATTGGTTTATGGGAAACAAGTATGAAAGACTTGAGAAGAAGAGCAAAGTCAGAGACAATGGAACTTGGAACTGAACTCAAATTATCTTATGTAGCTAGACTGTAGTATCTTTGTACTTCTGAATGTCTAACAGACATCCTGATAAGATAATTGAATGTCATGCACAATATCGAGGTTTATGCATCGTTCCTTTGGCTCTCACTAGATTTGCAGAGACAAGCTGAGACAACCACGAACCGCATTGTTGATTTGTCCTGGTTCTATCAGCCGTAGTATTCCATATTGATATACTGTCTCACTAATATTTATTGAATACGGACAAAACATCCAAAATCCGAACAAGACCGTTGAGATGGATAATAGTTATGTCTGGAGATACGAACCACACCCACATGTTCCCCCACACATTCACCAGACCATCTCTCTCTAACCAAAAAAAGACACTTTTCTCTTCTCAGTCCCATCCATGGCGGACTACGAAGACGAAATCGACCACCATAACCAAGCCTTCATCCCCAAAGATACAGCTCTACAAGCCCTGAACTCCATAATCCAGCTCCACTTCGAGAAAACCCTTGAGAAGAAACGAGCCATTGACCAACAGAAGAAGAAGCTCCACAAGCTGTTTCAGCTCTTCTTCATTTTCCTCGCCTTAGTCTTCTTCTCTCTATCCCAACCCTCAGGTCGTCTCCACTGCCGCCATTGTTGGGCACCCATCTGCCTCCTTTCCTTCTCTCACCTCTTCTTCTACGTCTCCGTGGCTCAAACCCTCCGTTGCATAAACGGCTTCAAGTACCAGCGTCGCTGCCACAAGCTCACTCTCGGCCTGGCCACACACAAGCTCCGGTTCATCAAGTCAAGAATCGCCGCTGGTGATTTCCTCGGCGGCGGCGACGGTGACGAGGCCTCGGCTGCTGCTTGGGATCTGGAAGTTCCTTATCAAGAGCCACCAGATTGCTACTTTGGCAAGTTCAAGAGAAATTGGGCTCTCTACTTTGGGTTCTTGATCCTTCTTTACACTTTCATGATCTCCTTCTCTGTCGTTGTCCTCTGTTTCTGAGATCTCTACTATGGCATTTTCGTAATATTCACACAAAAAAAACCCCACTGTGTTTCTTATCTCATTCATTAGTCTTCAGTTTGATATAGAAATAAAAAAGTTAGAATCTTTGAAGATTTGATTCAATCTGGGTTTGTCCGGATTACAAAGATTCTGTCAAAAAGTTCCTTGACCATCTCATATATAAATCGAAGGATATCACTAAAATGATGGAAATTTTGAGATTAGATTCAATCTGGAGTCAATTCTTTTGTAGAATGATAGAATCCCAAGTTAGTTAATAAGAGAAATGGAAATCACAATTGAACATTAGTATGAGACAATTAGCATTAATAAATCAATTAATCACAACCAAAAGTTTTGAATAATTTTTTTTTCAGAGACACAAACACATATCAACGATGACAAAAAAAAGAAGATAAAAAGAGTTATAAAAAATTTCACAGGGAAACAGAACACAAAAACACAGCAAGGAAGATAGTTTGAAACTAACAGCTAAAATCAAAGCTCTCGGTTAGGAGTGGTTTTGTTGTTGTTAGCTCCTCCTCTACGAATCTCCTCGCTGCTCGAGGAAGACGGGTCAAGCCCGTACTCACTCGTGTTCCCGTACTCGCTGCTTGCACCGTACTCATGGCTATCCAAAGCCACTTTCCTGAACTTCCTCATATCCGCACTGTAAGTGCTTGAGTCATAGTCCGAGCTCGATCCCCTCCCGAGGAATGAGCTCTGCCCTTGTTTCCCTCCTTCGTTTAGATCGTCCAGCGATGCATCTCCCTCTAGAGTCCGAACAATCTGTTTGAACATTGGACCATAGTGATCATTATATTGTCTGTTAAGTATATGTTTTAAACAGTCTTCATGTTCAAAAGTATAACTTGCCTGGCTCATCTTAGGCCTGCGTCTAGCTGAGTGCCTGACGGCTGCAGCGGCACAAGCCACCATTCGTGCCATCTCATGAGGCTCGTATTGGTTCTCGAGCCGTGGATCAACTAGTTCACTGTAATCTCCGTCTTGTGCTGCGTTTAAGCACAAGGGTCTTGCCTGTGTTAAAAAAAGTACCCAAGTTTGCATTAGCTCACAAGATACTAAACAGAGGACCCATTAATATACGGAATATATATTTAGTATATGGTTACGCACCCAGTCGACCAAACTGTCTTCCATTTCACCAGTGAGATCAACAGGTCGGCGTCCGGTAACGAGCTCAAGAAGCATCACTCCAAAAGAGAAAACGTCTGATCTGTCTGTCAGTTTACCGCTGGAGGCATACTCTGGAGCCAAGTACCTGTCATTAGATTGATTCACAATTTGAGATTCTTGGATGAGATTATATGATTCAAGAACGTTTCTAATATAGAAGCAAGGGCTACTGGAAATTGCATGAACAGTTTTCATCAACTGATTGTGCGTTTTTTTATTACCCGAAAGTTCCCATGATACGAGTGGAGACATGTGTTACATTGTCTTGAGATAGCTTTGCTAACCCGAAGTCTGCAACCTACAGATTTGAGCGAGTCCAGTTTTACAGAAAGAAAGAAATACCAAAGAATCTGCAAGCATTAGGATTCAAAATCACAAAAGAAAATACCTTGGCTTCAAAGGATTCGTCAAGAAGAATGTTTGAAGCTTTAATGTCTCTATGAATGATTTTTGGATGACCTAAGTCAAGAAAACAAATTTGATCACATTTCTAATATAACCTTCCCTAATAAGATGGAAGAGCTTAGATTTTTTGGTATGACTCACAGTCTTCATGTAAGTAAGCAAGTCCTTTAGCTGATCCCAAAGCAATCCTGAGCCTTGTAGGCCAATCAAGAACATTGCCACTTTTACCGTAGAGATGGAACTCAAGTGTGTCATTAGGTAAGAACTCATATACCAACATTCTCTGTCCTCCTGCAATACAATACCCAACAAGAGACACAAGAAACCGATGATGAACTCGACTAATGATATCAACCTCAGCCTGAAACTCGCGCTCTCCTTGTCCGCTTCCCGCTTTCAGACTCTTCACGGCAATCTCTTTCCCATTGGGAAGTATTCCCTTGTGAACATAGCCGAACCCACCTTGACCTAACAATCTTGCTTGAGAGAAACCTTGAGTTGCAGCAGCTAGCTCATCGTAGGTGAATGTGCTCTTGTTGAAACCTAAAGCCACTGAAGGGTGAGGTGGTGGTAGAGACGGACCATGTGGACCTGAGTAGTTTGAGCTCATGTCGCTGCTGTTTCCGTTGTTCATACCGCCTGAGACGAGCGGTGGTGGTGGTGGCGGCGACGGTTGCCAGCTTCCAGGTGGTGGGGGAGGCGGTGAATTCATCCAGCTATTATTCCCGTTTGATCCAGGATACTGATGAGACAGATTCATTACGTGATCGCTCTGGTTATTGTATTGCTGCTGTTGGTATTGATCACCTAAAATAAAACAGAGACTTATTTTTTTACCTTGTTTCTTAAGTAACAAGAAAAACTAAAGAAAACCATGATTTAAAGTTTTTAACTACATTATTTCGGAATATTGTGATATTCAAAAAACAGTACTCGAGACATGGTGTTTCTATGATATCTCAAAAGGGTTGTCATATGTGATTTTGAGGTTCTTTAGAACATATTCATGAATTAGGTTATCATTTAGCTTGATGCACAAGAAACAGTTCTAAACTAGAAACTGGAATAGGATAGGGCTAGGTTTGATGGGTTTTACATTTACCTTTGCCGGAGGCGAAACCGTTACCTGTATAATACGGCATTTGATGCTTCTTTTTCTTCTTACGACAACAACAGACGCAGAACAATATCATAACAAGAAACAACAGTCCAGCACCAGCCACAATCCCTACGATAGCACTCGTGTTCGGTTCATTGTTTCGTGAGTTGGAGCCACCGCTTGATTTAGGTGGAGCTAGCGCTTTCGGTGGGGAAGAAGAGTTACGGTCGGAGCTTCTCGAAGGAGGAGGGGGTGAACGATTGTTGCTTCCTCCGCCATTGTTTTTGCTGTTGTTGTCATTGTTATTCCCATTGTTGTTGTTGTTATTCCCATTGTTGTTATTGCCATTGTTGTTATTACCATTGTTGTTGTTGTCTTTGTTACTCCCATTGTTGTTGTTGTTGTTGTCATTGTTGCTATTACCATTGTTGTTGTTGTTATTGCCATTGTTACCATCATTGTTATTGTTGTTTCCTTGAGGAGATGGTGGAGATTGTGAGCCTGAAGAAGGCGGTGGAGGCGAAGAAGAGGAATCCTCCGGGGAAGGAGGAGCTGGTGGTGAAGGGGAGGATGATGAATCAGGAGGCGTGGGCGGAGGAGAAGATTGTTGCTGGTTGTCGGATGATGACGGAGATGGTGGTGTAGGGGACGGCGGTGAATTCTCCGGGGATTGCCCCTCCGCCATAATCTCTCTTTCGGTGTTTTCTTTTTGTATATGTTCTTTTTATTGCGAAGCTCTCTCCTTTTTTTTGTTTGTTTAACGAGAGAAAGCGAGGGAGAGAGAGAGATGAACAAAGAGAGAAACACAAAACCTCTTTGTGTGTTTCAAATTCTATTTTTAAAGTGTGCTTTTCAAATCTTTGTTGTTTTTGTTTTTTTTCTACATTGGTAATGTCTTCTTTTTGTAAGGTCTATATTTGGGTAATTAATACAGCCATGCAAATTATGTACCTACAACTAAATTTGTAAAACAATTTTAAAAAATTTACAGTCAAGAACTCGATGTTTTTTCTAGAAATAAAATAAAATATTAGTTGTATAAAATAAAATGACTTAAAAAAAAGTAAATGATGAAAGAAGCATGCTCTCGTTGAGAGTCGAACTCAAGACCTCCCGCTTACTAAACGGGTGCTCTAACCAACTGAGCTACGAGAGCTGCTTGTTTGTTATATTAAAACAAATAAATAAATACTGTTAAAACAGAATAATTCCTCCTCACTTTATGATAAGAAGACAAAATACTAGTCGCCTAAGAAATAAGAAGACAGATCAGGAACAGCTGAGGAGGGCACAGAGAAAACACCCTTCTTCCTCTCAACATTAACCAGAGAGATCTCTCAGCTTTCCTTCAAACCTCTCTTTTCTAAGATCCGATTCGATGCCGTCCCGTAGACGTACCCTCCTCAAAGTCATCATCCTCGGCGATAGCGGGTTTGTTTTCTCTTTTTATGTTTATTTTGTTTTTCTTCTACAAATTTTGTTAATTTAGTGGTGGTTTTGAGTTTTCTGATGTGTAATTAGGTGGTTTCTTTTTCTGGGGTTTTCTGAGATTTTAGGTCGGGTTTATTCTATTTCCTTTCCTTTTAAGTGATTGCTTAGGTGATTGCTTGATTTGTTGATCAATCCCTTTGGCGACTGCTAAATTTTGTTTCCTTTGTTTTGTTAATTTAGAACTCATAATTTGAATTTGATCTGATGTTAGGTGGTTTTTTTTTTATCAAGGTTGCTTTTTTTTTTCTTTTTTTTTTCATGGGGGTGTTGTTGATCCAAGTATCAGATATTTTCTTTGGTTAAATTTAAATAATTGAGAATGACATAGTCTCAAAACTAGTAACTTTAGTTCACTATACCTCTGTTTTAGTCTATAGATTGTTTTCAGTTAATCTTGTGTTTGGTATTCACTTGCTGGTTTTCCGACAGCATGAAGTTTCAAAGTTACTTATGATCTGATGTTTGGTTTCTTTAACATTTTTGCATGTTCTTGTCTGCATCTGATTTGGGGGTACTTAATTTGTGCTTGACATTCTGGATCATGTTGGTTAAGGTTTTGGGGGTACTGAATGTATAGTATTTTTTTAACTTTTGGTATTTGCAGGGTGGGAAAAACCTCTTTGATGAATCAGTATGTTAATAAAAAGTTCAGCAACCAGTACAAGGCTACCATTGGAGCTGACTTCTTGACCAAGGAAGTACAGTTTGAAGATCGTCTTTTCACTTTACAGGTTCTTACTAGTGTGCTTCATTAATCAGTTACTTACTTTTTTTTTAAATAAGGTTCATGTGGTTAGCTCTATGGCGCTTTTAGTTTTATTTAAAAGAGAATTGCTGACTCTGAGCGGAAGGTATTAGCTTAAAAATATTAAATGAACTAATAAGTTTCTGCCAGAATCTTTCAGGCTAACCTTGTTTGTGATTAAATTTGGTGTGCACTGCCTTCCTTGCTTGAGCTGGAGAACAAAACTTACTTGTTCCGGTCTTTTCTTTTTTGGTTTATTTCCAGATCTGGGATACAGCTGGACAGGAAAGGTTTCAGAGCCTTGGTGTAGCCTTTTACCGTGGTGCTGATTGCTGTGTTCTTGTATATGATGTCAACTCCATGAAGTCATTTGACAATCTGAACAACTGGAGGGAAGAATTTTTGATCCAGGTAACCATTTTTATGCTAAACCCTGTCGACAGATTCTTCATAAGAAGCAAATCTGTAACGCCAGTATAATATCCCTTGCAGGCGAGTCCATCAGATCCAGAGAATTTTCCATTTGTTCTTATCGGAAATAAGGTTGACGTGGATGGTGGGAACAGCAGAGTGGTATGTAACTATGTGCTTGCTTTATTTTCCATGTTTCATGAATTTTTTGTGAGATGTAACATTAATGTCCAAATACAAACTATCAAAATGATCGCAGGTTTCAGAGAAAAAGGCTAAAGCTTGGTGTGCTTCAAAGGGGAACATTCCTTACTTTGAGACCTCTGCCAAGGAAGGTACTAATGTGGAGGAAGCTTTCCAATGCATTGCCAAGAACGCACTGAAGAGCGGAGAAGAAGAAGAGTTGTAAGTTTCTAAACAATATTACTTGATACACCTTTTTAATATTTGTGGGTCTGTTTTCAACAGTTTTTTTGTCTATTCTCTTTCACTAGATACTTGCCAGACACAATCGATGTCGGGACAAGCAATCAACAGAGGTCTACAGGGTGTGAATGCTAAGGACCATCAATCACAAGAAGGAAACGAGGCTTCTCCTCCCATTATCTCCTTTCAAAAGTTTGTCTCTAAATTATTACATGGTGTAAATTTTTCTTTTGTGTGAAAGAGGGATGAGAGAACAAAGAAAAGAAAATAAGGAACCCTAAAAAAGAACGAGAATTGTTTTGTAGTTATTTGTGAGTTTTTATTTGAAGTGATGGTTTTAGTTGAATGCTTCAAGATTTATAAATCATCTCAAATTTCAATTCCAATGTATGATTGTATCTTGTTCAGTTGTTTGCATATAATAAACTCCATTAATTTATATTAAAAAAAAAGAACAATTTTACCAATAAGAAAACACATTACAAATTACCCATGGTCAAATCTATTATAACATTTTTACTAAAAAAGTTGATATGTTTTGTTATCTTAACAATGTTTACTGCAATGCACTTTGATTAATCTAGAAAACTAGTGGGTGATTTTGAGACGTATCAAAAGTCAAAACTATGATTTATGTTATTTTCTTTCAAGCATGTTAAGTAAACTCAATTCCTATGATTTTTTTTTTTAAATATTCTCTAGCAATTTGTTTTGTTATATATTGCAACCCTCATTACACATCACATGCACATAATAAATACTGTATGCTTTGTTTAAAATTCCTCATTTTAAATTTTGTAATTTTCATTCCTTATCATAAAACCCAATAACCGTTCAAATTTTCTACAACTTTTGAGTGCCTTTCTCCCTCCAAATTCTAAAAAACCAAAAAACTCACAGCTGGTTTGATCCAAGCTGCTTGTTTGATGCAATCTCAACCTCGGGATTTGGAATAGTCTTCTCGGGGTTCCCTTTAGGCTTATTCTTGGAATCTCTCCACCTGAAACCACTGAAAAGCTCATCCATATCCTCAAGCATCTTCCCTTGCGTCTCCGGCAAGAAAGTGTAGAAGAAAACCCAAGCCACCGTTGCAATCCCTCCGAACAAGTAAAACGCTCCTCCGGTAGTCATCCCATCCGACATCGGAAGAAACGTCATCGAGATCACACCACTCGTCACTCTGTTCACAACCACACCCAGACTCGAACCCTGTGATCTCAGCCTCAACGGGAATATCTCCGAGCTGTAAACCCAAGTAATCGGTCCAGCTCCTATAGAAAACGTAGCTACGTAAGTCATCACCGTTGTTATAGCTACCACCACAGCCCACATCACTTTCTTCTCCCCTGACTGGCCTATGATCGTTAGCGAAGTTCCTAATCCCATAAGAGACAGTACCATTCCTCCCACGCTGGTGAGGAGCAACGGTCGTCTTCCGATCCGATCGAGTAAGAAAGTGGCGACTAGTATGAATGACGTCTTCACCACTCCTACTGCTACAGTCGCTAGAAGCTGTTGGTGATCTGTTTTGAGTCCCGCGGTTTTGAAGATCCTCGGGGAGAAGAGAACCACCGCGTCGATTCCCGAAGCTTGCTGGAAGAAATGGATTCCGAGTGCGGCGATCATAACACGACGCACGGCTGGAATTGGTTTGATTAAAAGCTCTCTCCAAACTCCTTCTCCATGGCTGTTCCTCCTCGACACCTGCAAATTTAGATAAATGAGTTCAAAATTCCAACGAAGGACTCGCGAATTCGAATTCAATTTCTCTGAAATTGTTAAATTGGGGGAAAATCTGGATTGCGAAATCGAAAAATGAGAAATTAGGTCGAAATCTCGAATTTGAAATCGGAGGGGTGTTGAACCTGAACAACGTCGTCGTGGCAATCGGCGGGAATACCGGCGGCGTGTTTGATGTCTTCGAGACGGAGAGCAGATTCGGCGGGGGAATCAGAGGTTTTGTCGAGAACGCGTTTGGCTTCGCCGAGACGGCCTTGCATAACCAGCCACCGTGGAGATTCCGGCATAGCCAGAACACCGACCGCGAGCACCACTGAAGGTATGGCTCCTACCCCGAGCATGAGTCTCCATCCCAGCTTCAACGGAAAATTCGAGAAGGCCAGGTTCGATACGTACCCGAGCATGATCCCGGCGTTGATGAACACCTGTACACGTCACCACAACACCTTTGCCACGTCAGATAACATTTTATTTTTCCTTTTTTTTTTGTAATACGACGAAAAGTCAAAATAACCCGATGTGAACTACGTTAGTGTATATGAATTTACCTCAGGGAAGGAGGTGAGGAAACCTCGGGAAGAGGCCGGGGAGACTTCGGCGGTATAAACAGGTGCGATCATGAGAGCATATCCGACGCCGATACCGGCGACGAACCTTCCGAACATGAGGAAAGCGTAGTTAGGGGCTAATCCCATGAGGATAGCTCCGGCGAAGAATATGGCTCCAGCCAAGACGATAGTGTAACGGCGACCAATCAAGTCGGAGGTTTTACCGGCGGCGCAAGATCCTATAAGTGAAAAGATGTTGAGGATCCCAGCGAGAATACCGATTTTGAAGTCGCTAATATTTAAATCTCTCTTTATGTAAATCATCGCTCCACTCATCACTCCTATATCTGCAAACAAAACAAGAAAAAGCAAAAGCTAATTCTTATTAGAGAAATCATTAAATGAGTAAAACGGAAAAAGAGATTAAGGAGAAAACTAACCATAACCAAGGAGGATAGAAGTCATGGAAGCTAAGATTGCACACGCGAATGCATATTTGTTCATCTTTGGTGGTTTCGCCGATACACCTAACTCAGACACATGCTTCACCACCGGTGGTGCCGGCGGCGGAACCGTTTGGTTTTCCCCTGTCATTTAGAGAGGAATGGGGCGAGAGAGAGATAGAGAGGGGATGTGAGGTTTGAGTATTCTAGCAACAACTTGTGTGGTAATGAGCTGTGGCTTAAATAGACGTGGGTAGAGTCCAATAAGACAGGGGCATAATCGTCCGAGCCTATGGGAAAGCTCGTCCACAACTGTAGTATGAATAAATACATTACATTTGCATGTTTTAGTTTATTCTACAGACAAAACAAAATATATCAGTCGAAAACAAACGAAACGGCAACTAAAATTTGTATTTAGACATGTAACGTATGTATTATTAAATTTATTTTGGATTACTCTACTTCTACCAACAAAAAGCAAGACCAATTAAAAAGAAAAAGATAAATATCGGAGGGGCTTAAAGGTAAATAACGAAAAGTCAACTTGTTTGTCCATGACTCCATGTGTTGACTGTTGTTGTCGACCTGATCTTGAGGACTGAACGCATAAAAGACAGCTCAATTACTGTTCTTTCTTTCATTTTATAATCGCATTGTTTTTTGTATCCTTCTGTAACCCAAAGGTATTATATAAATTTATACACACTTAACAATATAATTAATCTATCTGTTTCAGTTGATTTGATATGATATGTGCTACTATAACAATAATTAGCATACGCCGATGGTTTATATAGATTACGCTGAGATTCGGATCAATAACTGGATATACAATCTTATTCATATGCTTTTTATAAGTCCGTAAGTACATTTCACTCTAAGTGGGAACAGAGCTTAGCCAACAATGAATGTTTATTGCTAAAAAAACAAAAACAAATGCATGATGTTATAAAATGAAGGTTCCTTCCTTGGAGAAGCCGGGTCAACACACACAACAGTCCAAGACCACATGTCTTGATTCTTGTAGATGATAAGATATATAATTATTTAATCACTCTCTAGTAATTATATTTAAAAGATTCCTGCAAAATGTTGTAATATAATATTGGATATTCCTTTGTAAATATAGAGATATGTGTGATATATTTATGGGATACATATACTTGCAAGAAACAATCAGTAGAGATAAGTCGTTGGCTTACGAGTGCAATCGCTGTTATGAAGACTTATTTGAATTATTGCTGTTATATTTGAAGACTATATATGAATTGTCAAAACAACTTGCTTCTACTTGTAGACTCTCTTAGTTGAATTACAGGGAATTAACACAAGTGATTATCAAAACTATTTCGTCCTCTTCAGAGGTCAAATTCTTCGTTTAATTTAATCATGAAATTTATGACTAAACTTAATACGTACATTACATATATATTGTGTAAGCTGATTGTTGTTGAAAGCCCACGTTATAAACTACACATAGATATAAAATCAGTTTAATATCAATGAAATTAGTAATAAACTAAATACATAAATCATCCCTTTGGTTTCTTCGGGGATGACATCAGTTTATTAACTTTCTAATTCTCTCTTTGGTTTCTTCCGGATGACATAAGAACACCACGATTTATGTAGAGATCACTTTCTCATCAACTTATCTATTTTTGGTCAAAAAGCAAGCTTTTATGATCTTTTCAACTATCTAGTTTACTACGTACTACTTATTATTTTTTTCCCTCAGTTGCTTCCTTAGCAAATCGTGGTTCTCACTCTACGATGATTAGGGCATGTATGGTAAACACTTTCTCTCACCTAACCATTATGATGAAGTGTGAACAACATTCTTTCAATATCATCATCACCTAATTATCTTAGTTATCATCAAACTTATGTCATATGACAGAAAGAAAAGAAATGCAATAGTTGAAAAAGTAAGAAAAATGGTGAAGTGAGTGGACCAAAGAAGTAGCAGAAAAGGCAGCCATCATAGGTGACCATAATAATATCGGCCAGCATGTAATTTTGGACTTCCTCAATCCTTATTGTGAGATATGATATATGTAACGACCCCACTTTCTCATTTCCAATGTGATTTTCTCATTTTGCACACATATCGTTCAATCGTATAGTTTTAATATTAAGGTGACTCTTATATGATTATAAGTATAAAAAGATATCAAATAATATTATCTATCATTTAACGCATCCCTTCACCACCCCATTGAAACATATGATAAGGAAAGCGTCGGTCTTCAAAATCCGTTGACTTCAAAGTAATATCTATGCAGTTGTCATTGGACCCATGACTCAGTAAGACAATACTTTATTATATTTTTATTTTTTTTAACTTTTAGCGTATTCTATAATTTCAACTCTTTTGTCATCACAATAATGAATTAGCTTGGAACATTATATTGTAAAAGAAGAAACTAAAAAAAAAAAGAGCTAATTACAATCTCACATTTTGATTTGTGGTTAATTTGGGTGTCTGATTTAGTTAGTCATAGCCTTAGTAGGAGAGTAATAGGGTATGGTCGTTCGTTAAGCAAGTGTGTGTAGTAGAGTCTACCTCAATTTTATACTTAAGAGAAAAGTCCACCACGTGCTTTTGAATTTATATGCTTCCTTCTTTATCTGAAAAGTATATCTCTATTTACTATACGTTTTGAATTTGTATGCTACATCTTAAAGATGAACGTGAGAGGGATAATAGATATTTCTTGAACAACAAAATCAATTAATAGATGTGAAAATGTATACTTTTTCTAAGCAACTTAAGATGCTCTGAGACAGATATTGTATTGTATACGTGAATCCAAGTTTGTGACAACTTAAGATGATATGAAACAGCTACTATCGAAAAAGTTATTATATTTCAAACAAACTCATTAAATAAGTATCCATCAACTTTGCAACATTATATTGTTTTTGCTACGGTGATTGGAATTTATAAGAAATTATACATTTTTTCTTTATGCATGGTATACGCTTATATTTATGAATCTGATCTTTCTACCATGGTACGAATAAAAGGAGAAATTGTCTACTTTGAATAAAGTAAATGGTGTCATGTCCGCAATCAATCACAATATATGTTAGGGGATACGTTGGGCCACGACTTATATCAAAAACAAAAACACATGTGCCAATCACTTGAAACATACCACAAATTCATAAAGTTCTCTGTGTGTGGTTTCTATTGACTTTAAACTCAGTGTCGTTTCAGATTAATCACCACAAAAGAATGTTGAATAATATATCTTTGTCCAAATTAAAATGATTACATAAGCAGGCATGTTGGCATGTGCTGTACGTGGAAGAAAAGGTCCTTACCTATATAGAAGATTGGTGGATTTGTGGACCAGTTAAAGTTAAGTTGTAGTTTTGTCTAATATTTACGTTCAGACAAAAACTAAACTAAGAGTTCAAATTGCACTAGCAAGATATGAGAAACAAGAACATCGCAATGAAAGGAAACAAACAAACTAGAGCTACTCTATAATCTGTTTTTCTACTTTTGAATCGTCTTTTCCTTTTGCCACCTCGTGCAGGTCGTTTGATTTGCACTAAACCTGGAACATAAGAGTACATAACTGGGAAAGAAAACTCTTTTGAATGTTCTCCGAAACCCACTTTTTTAAAATATCCATCCTCTCCAATGATATAAGCAAAGCAGCCCATCTCCGTACCTCTGTCACTATCAAAAACCACGGCAACTTTAATCTCCTCGTCAACGAAGAAACTCCCTTCTGGAACTCCAAATGGATAATCATCGAGTGGTTTCATCTCCACTGCTAAGAAAAACTTCTTGCTCCACGACACCGCTTGGGGATTAATCTTAGTCGTAATCCATATCTCCATATGTAATGTATCCTCTTCCTGAAATAACACTGCAAGTTGCTCATCTCTAACACTAGATAGAGTCACGGTATCTTCCATAAATGAGTGAAACGGTAAACTTAGACGCGGTCCAAATCTCTCTTTTGTAAAATCAAAACCGATTAAAAAATCTTGGTACCCTGATTCTTCTTCTTCTTCCCATCCTCCTCCTCTTATAAACTTTTCTTGCGCAAACCAATAAGTATTTCCCTTCAACGACACGCCACGTGCATAAGACTGTATATAGTAGTAATAGGGATAGTCATATCCCTTGGTGATTCAGAGTTGATGTAGTACAATTCACACCGAACGTATTCGGGAGAAGATACAAAAAATCTCAATACTTTGTAGCTACGGCTTGAATTGCTATTCTCGTATCCTATAGCATAAATATCGAACTTTGGTCTGCTTATTGGCTCGAACCACCGGGACTGGCCGCAATACGGATTCCAAACAACGAAACTAAGGCAGTCTTCCATGATGCATAACAATAAACCGTCGCAGTGATAGACCACAGATATATGGACTCGATCTGAATCGGTTAGGCTAATGAGTTTACCAAGATCATGGTTTATTGACGGGTCAACGTTGTTGTGAATGCCCTGGAGGTTGACGCTCATCAAATAAACCCGATAATTAATCACCATAATCGCCATAAACTCCCTTGTTGCTGCTGCTTTAGCTTGACCAAGGTGATTATTTGTAAAACCTTTCCATAAAGTATTCCACTTTTTGCAAACGGATTGCACTGCTCTCATTGATGTCATTGGAAGCCTAATGAGTACATCCTCTGCCAAATCCTTTGGAAGATCCGACAGCATCTTCTTCACTCTTCAGTTTTTAGCAAGCAAGGATCGAATAAGTTAGGTTAAAGTTTCATAGGGGAAAAGGTTTTATGTATTTTGCTATATTAACGCGCAAAAACAAAACAAAAAAAGTCAACGTTTTATTAATGAACTTGGACCTTTAGGTCCAAATATTTTTGCTCTTCTCCCTCGGTCTCTCTCCTTCCACTGTCACAGAGCGTGGCGCCACGAGCCACTAGTTCGTGCTGAAATCTTGAACCCGATACAGAAAAGAAGAGGAACATCGAATTCAGTGATGGCAATAACCTCTGATGTCTCTGACAGTGATTGAGTTGGAGTCTTATTCCCCTGTCCTAGAATATCTGAAACTCAGCTGGGCATGAAGTGCTTACAGGACGGGGTTTTGCATCACATTCGCTCCATTAAAACTGGTTCAACCTTGACCGCGGTCTCCTCGAACCAACTCGTTAATCTTTATGCAAAAAATGGTTTATTGCGGGAAGCTCGGAATGTGTTCGACGAAATGCCTGAGAGAAATGTTTATTCGTGGAATGCCGTGATCTCAGCCTACTTAAAGTCCAACAATTTAAAGGAAGCGCGTGAATTATTCAAAAAGGAAAATTGTGAAAGAGATTTGGTTACGTATAACACTTTGCTTAGTGGGTTTGCCAAAACTGATGGGTGTGAGAGTGAAGCCATTGATATGTTTGGTGAGATGCATAGGAAGGAGAAAGATGGAATTTGGATAGACGAGTTCAACGTCACTACTATGCTTAAACTTTCTGCGAAGTTATCTAATGTGTCATATGGCACACAGTTGCATGGAGTTATGGTCAAAACTGGGAATGATGCTACTAAATTTGCCGTTAGTTCTCTCATTCACATGTATTCGAAATGTGGGAAGTTTAAGGAAGTTTGTAATGTCTTTAACGGATCGTGTGTTGATTTTGTTGATAGTGTGGCTAGGAACGCAATGATTGCAGCTTATTGTAGAGAAGGTGACATTGATAAAGCTTTGAGTATATTCTGGAGAAATCCAGAACTGAATGATACAATTTCGTGGAATACATTGATTTCAGGGTATGCACAGAGTGGATATGAAGAAGAAGCTTTGAAGGTAGCTGTTAGTATGGAGGAAAGTGGGTTGAAATGGGATGAACACACTACCGCAGCTGTACTAAATATTCTGAGTAGGTTAAAGAGCCTGAAAATCGGAAAGGAAGTACATGCTCGGGTATTGAAGAATGGATCATATTCTAATAGATTTATAAGCAGTGGAATAGTTGATGTTTACAGTAAATGTGGAAATATGAAGTACGCGGAGTCTGTCCATTTGTTATATGGTTTTGGAAACTTGTATTCAACTTCTTCAATGATCGTGGGTTATTCTTCTCAGGGAAAGATGGTGGAAGCAAAGAGGTTATTCGATTCCTTAACTGAAAAAAATCTAGTGGTTTGGACTGCGATGTTCTTGGGATATCTCAATATATGTCAACCTGATTCTGTGCTTGAACTTGCACGTGAATTTATAGCCAAGGAGACCAAAATTCCTGATTCTTTGGTCATGGTTAGCATCCTTGGTGCGTGCTCTTTACAAGCTTCTATGGAACCAGGGAAGGAGATTCACGGTCACAGCTTGAGAACAGGCATTTTAATGGATAAAAGACTTGTTACTGCATTTGTTGACATGTACTCAAAATGCGGAAATGTTGAGTATGCTGAAAAGGTATTTGACAGTAGCTTCGAGAGAGACACAGTTATGTACAATGCCATGATAGCTGGTTGTGCTCATCATGGTCATGAAGCCAAATCTTTCCAGCTCTTTGAAGACATGGCTGGGGGTGGATTCAAGCCAGATGAAATCACGTTTATAGCCCTCCTATCAGCTTGTCGTCACCGCGGCTTAGTCTTAGCAGGTGAGAAATACTTCAAGTCGATGATAGAGGTTTACAATATATCCCCCGAGGTTGGTCATTATACTTGTATGATAGATTTGTATGGAAAGACCAATAGGTTGGACAAAGCCGTAGAACTTATGGAAGGTATTGATCAAGTTGATGAAGATGCTGTTATTCTTGGTGCGTTTTTAAATGCTTGCAACTGGAATAAGAATACAGAGCTTGTGAAGGAAGTGGAAGAGAAATTGCTATTCATTGAAGGATCTAATGGGTCTCGCTATATTCAACTAGCTAATGCATATGCCTCGTCTGGTAGATGGGATGATATGAAACGCATACGGAATCTTATGAGAGGGAAGGAGCTAGGAAAATTTTCTGGGTGCAGCAAGGCATATATCGATAATCAAATTCATATGTTTACTTCCTCTGATGTTTCTCATTTCAAAACAGAAGCTATATATGCCATGGTACATTTTGTGACCAAGGATTTATCTGAAATAGCTGAAATCACGATTTAAGAGAGAGGTATTAATTTTCTGTACATTTTTTATATAGAATACTCACATGACCCAAGGTTGATGATATCTGTTACAGTCAGAAATTTAGTTGCACTGAGTTTTGGGTACTTATATTGTATTTCACAGCTAGCTTTCTCAATGTTCTTATCATCAGTAATTGTTTGTTCATCACTGTTTTGAGTGTTAACTTTTTGCTAATTTTCTCGACCTGTTTTTACTTGCTTCTGTTGGAGGATAACTCTTCTAAAGCTGCATAAGCTAATGACCCATAGTTCTTCTCTTGTATTGCAATATGGCTGTTATCTTCGAAAGTTGAAGATTGAGAAACAAAATCCCAAGTTGTCTTATCCAAAATGGTTGTTTATAACTTTCTCCATTGATAGAAGGGCCTCAAGTCTTAACTTAGATTAACCAGACAACAAGGTCATGTGAGCACCAATAAAATCTCTGGTCTTTATTCATCTCTCATCGTCTCTGTAACATGTTTTAGAGTTGAAGTGAAATGTTTACTGTATGTTTCCTTTTGTGCAATCACTCTTACTATTTTGTTTCTTGTTTTATTTAGTTGGAAGTAAGCTGGGGAAAAACCAAGCAACACCAACACAAAGCAGTTAAGGCAACAACAACTGAAACAACATCAAACCAACACAAAAACGAAAACAGCAACAGAAACCAGTACAAGAAACATGAACTCATGAAGAAACCAAAACACAAAACGAAAACCTTTAAAAAAAAAACCGGTCCTAGCAAGTTGCAGCAGGTAAATTACATTTCTCTGGGAGTTTAGCAGCAAGGCCAAAGTCGATCCCACTGAGAAAGGGATTGAATTTGTTTTTCTCCTTGCAGAGACACGGGAAGTCGGCCTTTGACAGGGCAGAGCAGCAAGCCCCCAAGGGATCAATGGCGGTGGTCAATGGGTTCTTAGTCTGCACATAGGGCTTGCAAGCGTACAGACCAGCTATGGTCATACCGCAGGTGTTCTGTCCGGTTGCTGCCGTGAGTGTCAAGGCAAGAATCAAGGTAATAACGACAAGCTTAGTGTTTGGCTCCATGGCTTTGAATACTTTGTGAGAGTTTTTTACCAATTGTTTTTGCAACTAGTAAATGGGTTTGCTCTTCTCTTAGCTTAGGATAGGCTACGCTACCTGCTTCGTAGGGTTTATATAATGAGGATAGGCAGGTTACTAGTGAGATTAGATCTACAAATTTATAATTTTAACATGAAAAATGGGTCCCCCGTATCATATAAGACAGTACTCTTGTGATTAATCTCACAACTAATCTCCATTGCTTTTGATATTATTCAATATCTGTTATATTCATGAGCATGTGTAGGGGAAGTATCGAATGGCGAAGGTGGTCTAGACTAAATATATAAACTGAATCTATATTCTTCATTTGCTGTCTTATGATACTTTAATATAATATAAGTATATACTATTAGAGTAAGAAGACCCGTGAGACATTGGCATTACTACGTTCCAATGTGCTAACTTGTCACGGGTGTTCTTTGGTGGCCTCAAATTTACTGGGGGCTCACATCAATTTACTTGCTTTCATATGCAACCAATAAAAAATACAGTATGTAACTTCTTGTACTTGATATATCTTGGATGCAATATCCCAATTTGACAATTTATTAATGATAATAGTTAGTCTTTTATCCACTCCTTGGCAAACTGCAGTGGCTCTGTGAGTTATGTACCAGTCAAATGTTCTTATGGTTGTATTATGTGTTTTATTATCTCAATCTGCCAGGCTGTGATCTAACATGTGTATATGACTGTATGAAGGCATTCTCAAATAGAGCTAATAATGTATTGCAGCTTGAACTCACATTTCATAAGTGATAAGTAGAAAGTGGATTGGTTCTTAACCCCGAAATACATAGGCATAATGATTCCATCATGTGAATTGAGAACAATGAAAGTTTATTTATTAACTAATTTGAGGGTGTTTTTTGCAGTCTCAACAAGTGGAACAGAACGAAGATTAAAACGTGTAGCAGTGGTCAGGTAGGCACATGCCAACGACACATATATCTTGAACCAAATCATTGATGAGAAGAAGGTGAGATGCGTACAGATGGTGGTGAAGGCAATCACTGCCAAGCAGTTTATGAGGTACTTCTTTGTGTTGAACTCTTTTTCTGTTCCTTCGTTAGGAAAATGGCCACTGGAATAGAAGTCATTGAGCAGCTGGTCTTTGAGCTGGAATGTATTCATTAACCAAGCATTGATGTCCTTTTCTTCATTTGGGATTTGGTTTAGGTTGATACGACGAATGTGGACGTGAACTTCTGATGGCTCAATACCATAGACATTGTCTAAGAAAGAAGGGCAGCGAGTTTTATAACCAATGGTCACATCATAAACTGCATGTGCAAGTGTTGCATAAGAGTTTGCTTTGTTCAAGTGGGAAAGAAAAGAATAGGATCTTAGATCACTGATGCAAACCAGAAAAAAGTATAGACAAACCTGCATCAAGTGAGCAACTCAATTCTTGCAAGCAAGAGACGAAACCCTTTGTCCTGGGAAGCAGAACGTTTTTCAGTACTGGAAGGCCATTTTCAGCTGCAAATTTCTTACTCCTTTCGCATTTAGCTTCTCTGCATAAAGTTCCATGGTACAATGCTTTTAACCAAAAAGGTCTCTAAACAAGAATGATACTGGGAAGAAAGAAAGCTTACGTGTAATCTGTGCCCTCGGGGAAAAGAGCAAGCCATAAAGCGTCTCGAGGATCCTTAAAACTCGAAACGATTTGCCTCAAGTTTGCTTCATCTACTTGCCATTTCCGCTCAACAGGAATAAACTCAAAGAGGTGAAACGCCCAACCAAAGAGAGGTAACCTCATCAAACTGCTCTTTAGCACATATTTCATATTTCCAATTTGTCCTTTACGCAGTGCAAGATCCCAGAAGTACATCCAATCAACTTCTGTTCGGTGATTGGCAATGAGCAACACTCGTTCCTCACAAGGAACCTTATCGCCAGAGAAGATAACTTTGGTTCTATTTATCTTCTCAAAGAGAAAGGGCCACAATGCGAGCCAAGAACCAAAGAAGAAGGAAACACATTTACGGCTATAGTGTACGCTGAAAAGCCTCAACACTACAGCTGAGAGGAACCCCCAGAATATCAACATCATAAAAGCTGTTGAAACTAACACCATCAGACATACTATACCTCTCAACATTCTAACCAGAGACAATCTATGAGAGTTTGGTAAACCTTTTTTTTCCATTTTATACACCTTTGAGAAAAATCTATTTAACCTCCCCCTATTGTCTATTCTTTAATGATGCAATGAATCGCAAATTTCATGAATCTTCCATGGCCAGAATCACCATCAGAGCTCATATGGTTACATCATCGTAAGAGTCACCTGCAGGTAATGATCAAGACTCATCAAATTAAGAATCGATAGCAAAGTATTTATCAGGAGGAAAATGAAAACAGTATCTGGGATCTCTAAATAGAACTCGAATAAGCTGAGGATTCCTTTGGAAACTTTTATATTTAAATAGTAAAACACTAGAGGTTCGAAGATGTATAGATTAAAAAAATGAAAACAGAATCGAAGGATCCGACTTAAAGTGGATTAAAGTAAAGAAGAAGCTTTATCCTTCAGACACATGACAACATAAATACTGTATATACATAGTCTAAAACAAAAACTGCCCACCATGATATCAACACTGAAGCTCAAATCCCAGTGACGATTGAAGAAAAAAAACAATCAGAACACAGAGCATTACGATTTAACAATTGGGCAATGCAAATGTTGATAAAACAAGAAAGAAGAAGACAGCTTTAGCAGGGAACTGAAGTAAACAAACAGTGCAGAAGAAGAAGAATTTAATGGCCGAGAATTTATCATGAAGGACTACGATCGTTTTTGCGAAAAAGGGCTCGGAGGTGGTTTGTAATTACGGTCTATGCCACTTGTTCTCGTAGAAAGTACTCTAAGGAAGGTGAGGAGATTTAAACTACTGTCCCCCTCCTTTTTCGTGTATATTAAATTCTACAGGTCATCATGTTTGTTTCCATATCCCAATTATTATTGTTTTTTTCCTTTAAAACATTAATCAAAACCAGTCTATAATTTGGGCCGGGCTTTTAAAGCCCACAAAGGTTATGTTACGTTTTCATTAATAAAAAGGAAAAAAGGAAATAGAAATTAGTTTCTTCTCTACTCTCTTCTTTGCTTTCTTCCTCCTTCGTCAAGTCACACACACTTTTGAGTCGCGGCAATTTGGCGTTTGGTATCTCTCTATCTACTGCTCCTTCTCAGTCATGGATATCGATTTCAATGAGTACAAGCTCAGGTGCGAGCTTCGTGGCCACGATGATGATGTAAGATCATCCGCTTCTTCTTTTTACTGTTTTAATTTCTCGTTTCCTTGATCGATTCTATCCTGCGTTTTGAAATTAAGTCTTATAGTTGCAAGGGTTTTAGCAGAGTTCACCCTCGTGGTTCCAATTTCCTTTCCCGCTATGTATATAGTTTATTTTTTCCAATTTTATGAGCTGATTCGATAGTTAGTGTGTTTTGATTAGTTTTTTAGTAGGTTAATTTCTCAGCAAATTTTTCAGAGATGATTTGATACTGAGTACTGAATTTGAGAATTGTATCTAGTAGGGTTAGATGTTTAACCTTGCGTGCCAATGGCATTAATATGAAAACACCTGTTGGTATAGTAAAACCGAGAACATTGAATTATTTTATACAATTTTTTCGGCAGGGGTGTGATTGTTCTTTGTCTGTATACTCATGCAACTGTATCTTATGCTATTGAGCTAACGCAGTTGAATAGTAACTGTAATGTTTTTTACATTGGCAACTTATGGGTTATCAACACTTTCAGGTTCGTGGGATATGTGTCTGTAGTGATGACAATATAGCTACTTCATCAAGGGATAGAACCATAAGGGTTTGGTCACTGGATCCATCTGATAAGCGCAAGTATACATCCTCTAAGATTCTGTTGGGTCATACTAGCTTTGTTGGGCCACTTGCATGGATTCCACCAACTGATGATTACCCTGAAGGGAGACTTGTCTCCGGGAGTATGGATACTTTCGTGTTTGTTTGGAACCTGATTAATGGAGAGAATATTCAGACATTGAAGGGTCATCAGATGCAAGTCACTGGTGTTACTCTTGATAAGGAGGACATAGTGTCGTCTTCAGTTGACCAGTAATTCCTTCTCCTCTTTATTTAATTTTCTCAAATATGAAACTTACAAACTGTTTAGACAATAATGTTTTTTGCTTAGTGTCCAGTGAGTGTATTAGCCTGTGGGTTTCACTTCACTGTTTCCCAGTAATTTAATTTCCCATACGGGATATTATATTATGATTTTTAACCATAACTCTTAAGGGTTTTATGAGTGTTAACTGTGTGCCTGCTCTTAAGTAGCTTACTAGGTTTAGTAATACCGGGATAAAGTGACCCATCAAAATATGATTTACTCTCTACTGTTATTTAGTGTAACTTAAGTTCCCATTATTTTTGTTATCTGAAGAACTCTGAAACGATGGAGAAACGGTCAGCTTGTTGAATCTTGGGAGGCACACCAGTCACCTGTCCAGGCGGTGATAAAGCTGCCATCTGGTGAGCTCGTATCAGGTACATCATCCAGCTGAACCTGTCATTTGATTTCTCTGTTTTTCTTTGGTTTCTTGATGTCGAACATTTCCTTATTCAATTGTTTTTTTCTAATTTGATTGTTCCGCAAGCTTATGTTAATGATTTTTCGGTTGGTCGTAAGATGCATAGCCTTCTCTTTGATCATGGTTGATAGCATAATAGTTTTCTATTACTAGGTTCAAGTGACGCCACTCTCAAACTCTGGAAGGGAAAAACGAGTCTACGAACTCTTTCAGGGCATACAGGTGAATTTCGTTGACCTCTCTCAAATTTCTGTATCTCTCGAATTTCCTTGGCAGTATAAGAAACCACATATCGAAAATAAGATAGAATCTGATTCTAATTGCACTAAGATATCTATATTGTGAAGTGCCAAGACACTGACCTGCTGTCAGGGATTCCTTTTTATTGGAGAAACTATTGTTTTATACAATTAATTTTACCTTGCAATGCAGATACTGTTAGAGGGTTAGCTGTGATGCCTGATTTAGGATTTCTTTCCGCATCACATGATGGGTAAGTTATTTGCTTACAACATACTGCTGCCTTACTGATGCCATTGTCCAATTGAATTCTTATGTGCTTAACTCGACTTGTGTTGTCATTTCCATGACCTGGATAAGTTTTGTGATCTGGGGATTATATGTGTTGGTCTTGGATATGATGCTTAGGTTTTCTCTTTTTCAGCCTCCTTTCATACCTTTGTACACAGCAAAGGTTGTAAATCACTATTTTTTTTCCCAACAGTTCAATCAGGTTATGGGCACTAAGTGGCGAAGTTCTTCTGGAGATGGTTGGCCACACCTCCATTGTTTATTCAGTTGACGCACATTCATCTGGTCTTATTGCTAGTGGCAGTGAAGATCGCCATGCCAAGATATGGAAAGGTGATAATGGGTTATATTGTTTAAATTTAGAGGATCTCTCTCCAATTTTCAGTATGATGCTTGGCCTTAAATATTTCGTTGAATATTAAAGATGTCTCTTATATCATATCCTTTGTGGAAGACGTGTTAGAAATTTGATAACTTAGTTATTACCTATGGAAAGTTAGTTGTTAGCATCTCAGATGATATCAGGTGATCACAAACCCATTTGAAATGCTAGAAAAATTTGTCTGCTATAAATGTTATAATTGATATCACGAGCGAAAAGAGACATACATTTTGGTTTTAGAGGATATTTATTTATTATAGGTGAGATGTTGTTCTTACTTTGTTGATATTTTCTGGTACAGATGGAGTCTGCGTTCAGAGTTTGGAACACCCAGGTTGTGTCTGGGATGTCAAGTTTTTAGAAAGCGGGGATATTGTGACGGCATGTTCAGATGGAGTGGTTCGTGTTTGGACAGTACGTCATGGCGTGATTGCAGATCAGATGGAGATTGATGCTTATGATTCCCAAATTTCTCAGTACAAATTGAGCAGGTAAACTGCTCATTTATGGTTGTCTCAACTCTTATTGATTAAATTCTTTGTCCAATGAGTATTTTCACATGGCAATGTCATGATTTTTTAATCATATGACCTACATATGTGGTATGATTTCACATCCTTTGTACTCAAAATATAACTGCAAAATATATGCCTGTTGTTCTTTATCTCAGGAAAAAGGTTGGCGGATTGAAACTTGACGAGCTGCCAGGGCTTGATTCTCTGACTTCACCAGGTACCACTTATTATCCAATTATTGTATTTGACTTTATCATAAGGTAGAAAGGCTAAGTTTTAAAGAGATCTCGAGAGAACACATATTTTATTTCCCAGCTGTAATTGATAATGTCTGGCAATCAAAGTTGTAATCATCTTCTCGTATTTGATGTATATTCTCAGGTACCAGTGATGGCCAGACAAAAGTAGTAAGGGAAGGAGACAATGGTGTTGCTTATGCTTGGAATATGAAAGAGCAGAGATGGGACAAAGTAAGTCAGTGGAATGAACTTTTATCTTCTTTTTTTGAAGTTACCATAGGATGAAGGCTTGTGATTTTCCATGAATAAGCATGCTGTCTGGTCATAAAGTGATAGCATATACTGCCAGCAAATTTCCAATCAGTGCTAGTAGCGAGGGTTTTAAATGAATTTAAAGAGTGCTTGATCTAATGTGGCACCCAAACCTGGGAGAAAAATGGGCTCTGATTTTGAATACTGGTCCTTCATTTGAAGTAGCAATACCAGGATCTCTTTGGTGGATAACAAGGATATGAGATAGATTTGTCTCTAACATTTGCTTGCATATGAACGGTAAGACATTGTCCTTCTAATGTGGTAGAATGGATTTGAGTTCTCACATCATGCCTTTTTCAGATTGGTGAGGTTGTTGATGGCCCAGATGGTGTGGCTGATCGTCCAATTCTCGATGGATTTCAATATGATTTTGGTTAGATTTTGACCTATTATGGAAACTTCAGATTCTCGTAAATCGAAGTGAATAAAATTCTTAGCCTTTTTCTTCTTATCTAGTTTTTGATGTTGACATTGGTGATGGGGAACCTATCCGGAAGCTACCTTACAATCGATCAGGTACCTGAATGCTCTTACTGGCCTTGTTTTTATTCCAAGTGCAACTACATATAACTGGTTCAGTTTATGATACTTCAAATCTTTTCGTGTTTGGCAGACAATCCTTATGATGCAGCTGACAAGTGGCTTCTGAAAGAAAATCTTCCCTTTGGATATCGGCAACAAATTGTTGAATTTATATTACAAAATTCTGGGCAGAAAGACGTCAACTTTAATCCATCTTTTCGTGATCCCTTCACTGGCGGTAAAATACTACATGTTTAAAAAAAATATTTGGCCTGATTGTTTTATAGATTTTATTTTAGTTTTGTGTTAATCCTTTTTTGTGTAACAGCAAATGCTTATGTGCCTGGGCAAGCATCACAAACAGCTGGTATGAACAACACTGTCTGTGTTATTTTCACATAATACTTAAAATTTCCATTAAGGCTTCCAGTTTCTCATAATTTTTTTTTTGTTGCCTCATGCTTTGACTCTTCTCTGTTGCAGCAACTCCAGCAAAACCTTTATACAAGCACATTCCAAAAGTACACTCAAATTCTTTTTTTTTTATTACAGTTTAATGTTTCTAGCTTTTGATCCTTGTTTCTTTCATTATTTTCTCCAGAGAGGTGTGCTTGTTTTCGATGTTGCTCAATATGACGGAATTCTGAAAAAGATGACAGAATTTAATACTACTTTACGATCTGACTCGGTAAGCTTTTAGTATCAACTTTTGGCACACAAAATGTTTGAATGATTTTTTTCATATACTATTGTTGGGTTTAATGTTTTTACAATTTTTCCATCTTTTGAAGGTAAACAATGACAAGTCCCTGACAGAAGTCGAAGTATCCAGAGTAGGCGCAATCATTACTATACTCAAGGACACATCACACTACCACTCCACCAATTTTGCTGACATGGATATTGATTTGCTTTTGAAAGTGCTACAAGCATGGCCGCCTGCAATGATGTTTCCTGGTTAGTCTTCTCTTGTCAATCAATTAGTCAAACAGAACAGTTTATTATATATTGAGCATCTGGATGGTAGCCATATGCTTCTTAATATGATAAAGCCATAACAAATCAATTGTTTCCAAGATGCTTGTATGACAATCTAAAAATGAGAGATGGTTTGGTTTATTTTTGAACGAAATTCTGGGTTCCCATGTGTTTCTTTCAGGCCATAAAGCAATTTACCTTTTGCTGGCCACGTTACTTTTTGTCTATTGTTGCATATAGTCTTTTGTTTTACTTTTGGGTCAAGCTCTTACATCTATGGTTTTTGAATATGCAGCTACTGATATAGTCAGGATGCTTGTCTTGCATCCTCACGGAGCAAGTCTACTTATTAAGCATGTGGAAAACAACAATGGTAATCATTTCTCACGTGAAGCAATGCTTTTTCAACTTTAATGGAAGTACCAGTTAAAGTCCTTTATTAACTGGTATATCTCTGTTACTATTATTCAATCAGACCTGCTTTTGGATTTGATAAAGAAAGTCACAGAAGATTCAGCACTTCCTGCAAATCTTTTAACGACCGTTCGTGTCCTGGTTAATTTGTTCAAGAATTCTTCATTTCATTACTGGCTACAGACCCATCATAGCCAAGTAAGTACTATTTCATTTATATGGTTATATATCATAATATCTAGAATCTGTTATAATCTCGAGGAACGCTCTATTGGGTTAGCTGTAACTCACATCTGAGGAGGAATTTTTGGGTTCCTGTGTCTAGTATCTATCCATGGCTGAGCTACGGCTGAGAATAAGAAGAAAGTTTCAAATTAAAGTTTGTTATAGTGCCGGGACATCTGTGTTTGTGTGTGTTTATTATGATTAATATGAAGACATGGTTTCATGGGTACTCATTCGTTTTTATGTGGTGTCGATCAATACAGATTCTTGATGCCTTCTCAAACTGTTATTCATCCCCAAATAAGAATCTGCAGTTGGCTTATTCGACGTTGCTTCTCAAGTAAGATCTCTCCTATACCACTCTTGTTCTAGTTGGATTCATGCCAAACTGTAGCTATATTCTATTATAGAAAAGATCAAACCCTGATGTATGCTTTTGTTTTTCCTCAGTTATGCAGTGCTGTTAATAGAAAAGAAGGATGAAGAAGGTCAAGCTCAAGTCCTTTCAGCAGCATTACAGGTGCGTCTAAACTTGGTGTTATTAACCATCATTGCATATATTCAGTTCATATCTCGACAGTCAGCTGAATCTCATCTGTTTTGTTAGTCTATGTTACTTTGGACATATCTCTTAGATCGAAATAAAATGGGAGGGGACAATGTACGTACTATCATTTCTGTGCTAAAAAGATTTAATCTAAATACAGGTTGCAGAAGAGGAAGCTGCAGATGTTGATTCCAAGTTCCGGAGTTTGGTAGCAATCGGGTCACTGGTTAGTTTCGCAAACAAGTAGAGTAACATATCTGCTTGTTAATTACATCATGTTGATCGGTGTGTGTTTCTGAAATAACAGATGCTTGAAGGTAGCGTGAAGAAGATAGCGGTAGATTTTGATGTGGCGAGCATTGCAAAATCAGCAAAAGCCTCAAAGGAAGCCAAGATTGCAGAAGTTGGGGCCGATATCGATCTTGTAATTCGTCAGTAACCTTAAAAGAGTCTGTGATGGAACCCGAGGATTTGGATTTTCGATGATTCTCTCAACATTTTTGGATATGATTCAGAATCACTTTTCCTAGAAATGCAATGCAAATTTTTTCCTTCAGATTTCTGAATACAGATTTGAATATTAACAGATGTAAAAAGTGTATACAGGGGAAGAGTAACTCTGCTTCTGCTCTCATGAGTCATGGCTTCCATTTAGAGTAGAACTTTTGATCACCCCACATTAACATTCTACTAAGTGAAACCTCAACATTCTTCTTCTTCAAATGCCAGTGCCTTGGCTTTATCCTCTTCCCCAAGCTAAACCCAAAGTACTGCGGAAACTTCTTGAGCTCTTCCAATTCTCTTTCCATGTCATAAACCAGAAACTCATACTTGGGTCTCAAGTTATCTTCAACACTGTAGCCAAATATCGCAGGGATTCTCCCACAGACTCTAGCTGCTTCCTCGTGTTCGAATCCTATACTCTTCAAGAATCTCATCTTAGCTCTTAGCTTCTCAACTCTCGTGTTCAGCACGTGCGCGTTCGTCTTGCTTGCTCGGTTCAGATTCTGTAACCCTAGCTCCTTCAGGTAAACAAGCGTCGGTCTCAAGCAATACTCGACGTCGGAGAGGAGGATGTTCGGGCAATTTACGATTAAGCCCCTGGATTCTTCCGCCGAAGCTCCGAGCTCGCCAGTGAGAAAATCGAAGACAGGATCGAGTTTAGAAATGTCGAAAGTGGGAGAGAAGAGCTGTGGACAGAGGAAGACGAGGCGCGGGAAATCATCGTCGGAGATACCTTTCGATTTGAGGAAGTCTACGGCGGAGAGGATAACGGGAAGATCATTCGCCGGAGGAGCAAGTCGGGGGTTCGGAGGAAGGATTCCGAGGGAAGAGAGGTGTCTTAGATTCTCACGGTGAGAGGTTTGGAATTTGAGATAGAGAGGTTTAGAGGTAGAAGAAGGAGGAGGAGAAGAAGACGACGTCGAGAAAGAGGAGAGAGGTTGAAGATGAAGTGAAGCAATCACAGCCATATCGTCGATTCTTCACCTCTTCCCGGTTCGATTTTATTTATATATCAATAAATTTAACCAGAAATTATTTTTTAAATCCGGTTCAGTACTACTACTATACACATGATTGTTTCAGATATCATAAAGAAAGCACGCATATATTCTCCACAGGCTGCTGCTGCGGCTCTCAACTCCGCTTCCTCAGCGTCCATTTCTGAGCAGTCCCCTGTTTCGTCTTCCTAAGGTGAACTTAGTTGTTGCTCTGTGATTAATTTTATCAGATTTTGTTTCACTTGCTAGCTCAGAGTATCTTTCTGTGGTACCTTATAGCTAGTGTTTGTTTGTGCATGAGAATTGACTTTGAAATTGTGTTTCTGGAACAAAGCATCGACATTTGACTTTTGATGTTTCTTACGGTAAGAGCTTGTTAGGCTTCTTGTTGTTTTATCCTTAAGTTCTTGGAAGCTATTTTGTACTTCTGCATTTTCTTTGTCATACCCATTAAGATTTATAACTTGTTAGGCATCTTGATGTGCATCTACCGTAGTCTATTTTTTTTTCTTTACCTTTTTGGTTGGTTAGGCTTTAAATCTCTGTTCCTCTTGCTGCAGTTTTGCAATTCAGGAGCAAACTCATCCAGGCTCGAAAAATGTGTTTTGCAGCGATACTACAGCAGCATCATAAACAAAGGTTATGGTAATTGAGAACATAATCCATCGGTAGTGTAGTGCTTTTAGGGTGATGTTAATCAGAATTTGAAATCCTGATTAGCTATTGAATCTTAAGTTGTAGATAAACTATTGGAGGTTGATGAATAATTCTCACTCTAGCAAAAACAAGCTAAGTTAAAAAGAACTAGTTATGGAGATTGTGTTGGTCAAGTATTTTCATAGATGATGTTAAAAAGACAAAACTTAAACATGTAATTGGATATGATAAACATTTGGAGAAGGTTAAGAATGCATATAAAGAATCCAACGCCAAAATTATTCTAATCCAAATACATGTCGTTATGTAATAAAATTCTGGTTTGGATCCAAGTTTTGGACCAAACTAAACCAAACCGAATCAGCCTTGCCATGTCAGCATACTCCCAATCAAACATTAATTATTTGATTGGTCTCTTGTAATGTTATGTGGGTCCCATCATATCAAGATGCAGTGGCAGACGCAGAACTCTCTCTCTTTTGCATCCCACAAGATAAAATTTGTTTCTTTCCTGTTGAGAGGAAAGAAAAACAAAATTCAAAAATTTAATGTGCATACTAACAAGCTAGTGAAGAAGAAGAGCAATGGAAGGAACTTGTTTTCTCCGTGGGCAACCTCTCGTCACAACTATACATTCTCTTCCAAGGAAAGGGTTTCATCTCCAAGGATGGAAGACCAATCGGATTGTCAGATTATCAGCTTTAAAGAATCACTCCGGTCTCGGAAAGGCCAGGTCTTTAGATCTTAGCCTCAGGGCTTCTGCTTCAGGTACTACTGCGCACCACAGTTTTCAAGCTTTTTGTTTCTACTCCGTATCTTTGTGATGGAAAAGTCTGTTGAATTTCAAATGGTTTAGCTTTGTTTGCTTTTCGTGAAAATGGGTCTGGCTCGATTATGATTTTGATATGTTTCTCTTGAATCTATCTTTTTCTTGTTGTTGCTTATGGTTTCTGCAATGTTGTCGTTTCCTAAGTCTTCAATTCTAGTTTCAAAGTTCTCATCTTTCCTACCTTTTGATCACTTATGATCTGGGAGTCATACGTTTTGACTCATTTCCCTACTTGTTCCAAAGGTCCCATAAGAGCAAGCTCTGCAGTAACAGAAGCAATCCCTTCCAACTCAAATGCCAAAGAAGAAGACCTTGTCTTTGTAGCTGGTGCTACTGGTAAAGTTGGTTCTAGAACTGTGAGGTTAGTATCTTGCTTCTTAAATTTTTAATATCAATTCACAATGCTGGTTGGTTATAGTGTCCTATCAATGTCCTCTTTGACTCAGAGAACTACTGAAGCTGGGATTTCGGGTTAGAGCTGGAGTTCGAAGTGCTCAGAGAGCAGGAAGTCTTGTGCAAGTATGACTTTCATTAATACTAAATGTTTGTTAAAGTCAATTGATTCATCATGTTGGGTGATGTTTATCCGCAATTAATACTTTGCAGAGTGTTAAGGAAATGAAGCTCCAGAACACTAATGAAGGAACTCAACGTAAGAGCAAAATGTTTTGATTTATGTACAATGATTTTGTTGTAGAAAAGTAACAGGCAGTGTCTGTGTCTTTAGCCCAGCTGTAGAAAAGCTTGAAATTGTGGAATGTGACTTGGAGAAGAAAGATTCTATAAAGCCTGCATTGGGAAATGCATCGGTGATTATATGCTGTATCGGTGCTAGCGAGAAAGAGATCTCCGATATAACTGGCCCTTACAGGATCGATTACCTAGCCACCAAAAACCTTGTTGATGCTGGTAAGAAACATATAGCTCAAAGCGGTTTATTTTTTCTATTCTCTCTTTCTTTGCCTCTTTCTTGTTTCTTCATTGCCTCTTATGATATTGTGAGCAGCAAAATCTGCAAAAGTTAATAACTTCATTTTGGTGACATCCTTGGGGACAAATAAATTTGGATTTCCCGCTGCTATTCTCAAGTAAGTCTGTATATGTTTTTTCAGTAATTATACACATTTATCGGAGATGCATATATAACCTAATGGCTTGTTCTTGGTATATATGTGACAAATTCTAAACATCTCGTATATGAAGCCTATTCTGGGGAGTTCTTTGCTGGAAGAGAAAAGCTGAAGAAGCATTGATTGCAAGCGGCCTCAATTACGCAGTGAGTGATTCACAAATCATCTTATACCAAATCTACAGTTTCAGAGACGCTTTCTACTGTACATGTCTGAAGTTTTTTGTCTTTCCGTCTTACTTCATCAGATAGTTAGGCCTGGAGGAATGGAGAGGCCCACCGATGCATACAAAGAAACTCATAATCTCACTCTTTCTCTAGACGATACATTGTTCGGTGGTCAGGTCTCAAACCTCCAGGTATCAACACTTTTCCCTCGTCTCTGTTATAGTAAACACATTATGAAGAAGATTTTTTATTTGTTTCTTGCGTCCTTGTTATTGATCTACAGGTTGCAGAATTGCTCGCTTGTATGGCAAAGAATCCTCAACTTTCTTGCTCCAAGATTGTGGAAGTGGTTGCTGAAACAACTGCTCCATTAACTCCAATGGAAAAGCTTCTTGAAAAGATTCCTTCCAAACGTCCTTATGTGCCTCCACCAAAGGTTATATTGCCTTCTTTTCCTCTCTTTTTTTTTTATCTTGATCATCACTCTCTTCTGATATGATGATTATCTTTATTTCTCTTTTCCATTGTGGACAGGGATCAATTGCAGCCAAAGAGGTCAAACCAGTCCCTACTAAGCCTGTCACTCAAGAGCCAACAGCTCCCAAGGAGGATGAAGCACCTCAAAAAGAAAAATATGTGAAACCTAGGCCGCTGTCTCCTTATGCGGCGTAAGACAACTTGTTCCTCAACGGGAAATAGTCAAATATGTAACCAAAATGACTTGTTTACATGACACTAATTGTTTCTTCCTTTTTGTTTTTGTAAATATAAAATAGCTACGAAGACTTGAAACCTCCAACATCTCCTATTCCAAGTTCGACCGCATCACTCAGTCCTGCCAAATCTAAGGAGGTAGATGCCACTGAGGTTCCTGTTGAGGCCAATATAGTGCCGGATAGTATCTCAAACGTCCCAGTAGAAGAAGAAGAAGAATTAAAGCAAGCTGGAGAAGAAGAAGTGAAGAAACCTGAGGAAAAGAAAGGGAGGCCTCTTTCCCCTTATGCCAGGTAAACCTTATTATCTTTGCGACTTTATTGTATTCAGGAGCCGCTAGATTGAAATTAAGTATGCTCGCCTACAGTTTATATTGCTATAATTACCGTTGGAGTAATAAATGTGTGAGCAGATACTAATTTCAAAAGTTTGATGCTTTCTCTACATGGCCGTTTTGTGATGCAGCTATGAAAATCTGAAACCACCTTCATCACCCTATCCTAAAGCTTCGGGAACCAGAAAGACTGATTCTTTGTCGCCTGGTCCAACTGATTCTGATACTGATAAAAGCTCAACAGTTGCAACAAGCGTCACTGAGACAGCAGTTGCAACAAGTGCCCCTGAGACAGCAGTTGCAACAAATGTTACTGAGACAGCAGCACCAGCCACACCAAGAATGAGGCCTCTTTCTCCTTATGCAGTGTAACAACTTTGTCGTATTGTGTTAATTATGTCCTCTTTATTTATATTTATATCTAATTCGTTTGTGGTCCGTTTTTTCTTCAATGAATCTATACTGTGTTTTGCAGGTACGCTGACCTGAAACCACCAACCTCACCAACTCCTGCATCAACTGGTCCCAAGAAAGCAGCATCTGCAGAAGACAACTCAGAGTTGCCTGGAGGCAATAATGATGTGCCGAAAACAGTTGATGGAAGTGTGTAAGTATCTAGATGCCAAATTTAAAGTGTGCATAGTTAAGGAATAAATCAATACAATATCTCAGGTTTTTCGCGTGTTGTTTTATCAGGAACACTACTCCATCTCCTTCCATACCTGAAGCAGTACCTGTTGTTACCAATGTAGAGACTTCCCTTGCTGCCGGAGACAATCCAGCTCAGCCAAAGCCAAGACCTTTATCACCTTACACAATGTAAGAGATACAGAGAGAGTAGCATGTTGGTTTTAAGTGTGTTCAATATTATTACTTCTTCTTATGTGACCTGAAAAAAACTAAAATGTTTGCAGGTACGAGGACATGAAGCCTCCAACATCACCAATTCCATCTCCAGTCATCAATCATTAGTTATGTGAGATGAGAACTGGCCTCTTAAACCCTGGAAATTCTTCAACTTCTTCTTGATTGTAGATTCTAAAGAGTGAGTGAGTGAGGGAGATGGTGCAATTCAGTTTTGCAGGTATGAATCAGTGAGCTTATTTGTTGAATAATACAATATTCATCAAGAGGCCTTATGAGTTCTACTTTTCTTCTCCTTTCCAACAACCATATGTGGTAACAAATTTGTTTCCCTATCACATCTATATGACCCAAATTTCTTAGCATTACATTAGGCTTTCATATACATGTCTTATATCTTTCTGCTGTAATCTACTCATTCAATCAACTTAATGTGTTTGTATACAAATTCAATATATATATAAAAGAGAAACGGAGAAGTTTTATAATTGTATGTTTACTGATAATAACCATTCATGGATGTATACTAAATTACCCTGTGCATGGTAAGAAGTGTCAATACTCTTTTAGAAGTTAGTTGTGATGAAAATTGTGGCAATCGAGACAAAAACTAAAGAAGAGAAAAGAATTGTCGCTTATGTCTTGGAGCGAAAACTACGGAACAGAAACTTAGGAAGTCACAACGAAGAACACAATCCCAAAAATGAATCTTCTATAAGCTAATAAAACCAACTCTCTTGGATTCTCTTTGTTTATTTCCCTGCAAACACTTGGAATTTAACGTTTAGTCACATGGAACTCTTCCATACAAAACCAACTCTTAACAAAAAAAAACTTGTGTTGTGTCCTTGGGTTATTGAAGACTGCTCAGTTAGCGCATTGAATAGTGAGTACTATACATAATTTTAAATAAGTACGGGCTTGTTTTATTAAATATGAATCTCTAATTCTCTCCATGTTACGTACAGTATTTGGTAGCTTTCTTATAGCAAAAAGGGTTTTTGCACCATCTCACCTTTCATCGCTTTAAAGGCCTTTTCTTTACCATTTCGATCAAGTGCTTGGTGCTTGCCAGTGCCACTCTCATCTCTTTAACCCAAAAAAAAAAAAAGACACCCACTAATATACCTTTTTCTCTAATTTACCATTAGTAAGTCTTTCCGGATAATGCTTTGCCAAAAGATGTTTCATATTATATGTATTCGTGAATTGCGATTATAAGATTTGAATTTTTAGTGGAGGTTTTACAAATGGTCCACTTGACTAGTATGCAACCCATATAAATAACGTGGAACTCCATATCATATATATATATATATACATCCTTAAAAATCTATATTTATATCTTAACTGTTCCAAATGTTAATAGCTCTCCCTCGAAAAATACTACCGAGTCTATCGAAGTGTATCGTTATGTTCATTATAGAAATCTTGTACATCAAGATTTAACATGCTGCTACAGTAATGTAGCTAGTGTCACTTCTACATAAGATTAGCGTACAAAGACAGACCATCAAATACTTTCAATTTAGAACGTAGCTCATAAGAATCCGATTTAAGAATTATTTACTGTGATCATATATACGAAAGATGACTTAACGCAAAAAACAGTAAATCTTCGATTTGTAAAGTTGTCCTTTGTGATGGTTTTGTTGCATAGGAAAAGTAGCCTTTACAAAAACATTAGACCCGATGTCAAACCAATAATTACATATTGTTTTGTTTCTTTTGATGCAAAATACCCCAAAAAGAGACACAAAGTTTTGTTTTATTTTAGGTTACTTTATATTATTTCATTAAAGTGTGTCAATCAATGGCACTTTTTTTTTTTCACATCAATCAAAGGCATTTCTTTCCAAGATCGGACTGGTTTAATGATGAAATAATAATCAGATAACCAAACTTAACCACCATGCAGATGATTTTATCCAATAACAAGTTATATACAGATGATCTACTAAATCCTAAAAATATGTATTGGTTGTCAAAAAATAAAAGTCATTTATTGTAACACAAAGATGTTAGGTAAAAAAAAAAAAATCACAGTTTAATAACTTTTCACAAATTTTAATCAAATATTCTAGGAATAAAAAGAAGATTGTACACTTTTGTTGTATGATGATTCTTATTTACTAGGGAGTAGTCTCATTCCATTCGTGGGTATAATGCTATTCACTGCAATCTCCTTCTGCTCTTTAACCTTTCCTTTCTTCTTCTTCTTGGGTAACTTTTCTTTTGTCACTATGCATCCCATCTAATGCTCTGTTTCCAGTGATTTTCAGCAGTTAAGGTCGTTTTTACTTCTCACACAAACACAAAACTCTTTAAAATACATTAGGCGGGCGATTTCAATTTCTTTCTCACACAAGCAGAGATGACTCTAAAAGACACTATGACGACGATAAGGACTTCGAATCATAAACGTTCTAGAAGGTTCTGTCTCTTCTTCTTCTTTCATCAGTTTATATATTTCATTTAAGAGTCTTGTCTTGCTTAGTTTCTGTTTTTTTCTTTTTACAGCGACCCGGTCCTCAGAAGATCTCTCAAGAACAAGAAATCAAGTGATGCCCATCATGCCCTTTACAACTTCGACATGGTCAGGAATCTTCAAAAGAGTTCAATTTTTTTCTTAATCTCTAATTAAGTTCATCAAATCAACTTATATTTTTGTTTCTTTAGGATGAACTTTTGCAGAGAGAGATAGAACAGCTAAAATCTCTTCTAAAGTCCAGAAAATTGCATCCCAGTGCCAGGAGAGTCTCAAGTGATGAGGTTTTATACAATAAAGATAATTGTGAAATATCAGGTTCTCTAAGAAAATCCATAACAGATCTCAGATCTTTTACTGTATACTCTGCAGATTGATTTGTTGCTTCAAGAAGATGAAGTTTTAGTACGGCATGAAATGGAGACAGTCCTTCGACGCAAACTATTCTTGGAAGATTCTAAAAATGAAGATTCGTTTATCCCTAAGGTTATAAAAACTCAAGAAGCCTAAGCTGCCTTAAAACACAAGTAATCCCCCTTTTGAATATTTTGTCTGATATTGTTAATAAGGTTTTCGTGATTTCTTGATTTAGGAGGCAAAGAGACTGGTGAAGGAAATCGCGGGTTTGGAGCTGCAAGTGATGTACTTAGAAACATATCTCCTTTTGTTATACCGGAGATTCTTCTACAGCAAAATTACATCTAAGTTTGAAGCAGATGAGAAGGAGAGATCAGAGGATGTTCTTGGGGCTTCTAAACACATTCATTCACCCAAAAATGCAGTTTCCAGCCCTCAGAAAGTTCTAGAAGACTCTGGAATATTCCGTAGTCACTCATCGTTGTCTCATTGTTCAGGCTATTCCTTTAGAATGTCTCCCCAAGCAATGGACTCATCATATCATCGATCTCTTCCTTTCTCAATGCTTGAGGTAAAATAAATAGTGTTAAACAGTCAATGTTCAATGAGTTTCTCTCTTTACCAATAGTGGTTTACATTTTCATGTTTTCAGCAATCCGATATTCATGAGTTGATCGGGACATATGTTTCTGAAAACATTCATGAATCACCAAATAGTTTATCTGAAGAGATGGTCAAGTGCATCTCGGAAGTCTTTCGTCAGCTCACAGATCCAGAATCACTCGACAATGACCGAGAATCGAGCAGCCCTTTTCGCGGGAAAGAGCCTCTGAAGATCATTAGCCGACCTTACGACAAATTACTGATGGTGAAATCGATATGTAGAGAGACAGAAAAGTTAAATGCAGTTGAACCTGCCTTGAAACATTTCAGGTTTTTCAATCTGTGGCTCTTACAATATAATTCCAAAATCTTTTGGTTTATATAAATTAATTCTGTTTTATTTAATCAATTGTACACTTCTTCTTCATTTCAAAATGTTTAGGTCGCTTGTGAATAAGCTAGAAGGGGTAAATCCAAGGAAGTTAAATCATGAAGAAAAGCTAGCTTTCTGGATCAACATACACAACTCTCTGGTTATGCATGTAATGTTAATTTCTCTACTTAACTTCTTCTAATATGACCTTGCTGGTACATCTCTCTAGATATTAATTTACTATATTATTGGTTTTTCTTTTTGTCTCTTTTGCAGTCTATACTTGTCTATGGGAACCCTAAAAACAGTATGAAAAGGGTCTCTGGGTTGCTGAAGGTACAGTGCAGAACTACGTACTTGGGACACAAGTCATCAGTAAATTAACAATGACTAGGGTAATTTTATTGTGCAATATAGGCAGCGTACAACATTGGAGGTCGAAGCTTGAACTTAGATACCATTCAGACTTCAATCCTTGGTTGCCGTGTCTCTCGTCCAGGACAGGCAAGTCTATGATTGATTTCAATTCTTAAAATTCGACTTCGCTTGAGGAGGGCTAATAAGGATTGGCGTATTTTCAGGTATTTAGGTTCTTGTTTGCTTCAAGATCAAAGGGTAAAGCTGGAGATTTGGGAAGAGATTATGCTATAACTCACTCTGAGCCTCTTCTTCATTTTGCGCTTTGCTCGGGGAACTCATCAGATCCATCAGTAAGCAAATCCACTGACTCAATGTTTCTTATCTTACACGCTACTCATATTGAAGGATTACGTTTAAAGTAAACACTCTTCTTTTAGGTTCGTATATATACGCCCAAGAACGTGATGATGGAGCTAGAATGTGGTAGAGAAGAGTATGTAAGATCAAACCTAGGAATTTCCAAAGACAACAAGATTTTTTTGCCGAAGCTTGTTGAATTATATGCCAAGGATACTGAACTCTGCAACGTCGGTGTTCTCGACATGATCGGGAGATTTTTGCCGTTTGAAGCAAGAGATAGAATCCAGCAGTGTCGGAACAAGAAACACGGTAGGTTCTCCATAGATTGGGTCGCACATGATTTCAGATTCGGTTTGTTTCTCTGACAAGCAAACATGAGTCATGAACTATTCCTTTGTTTTTCATATGATGTGATTGTGAGATCGAAGAACGTCCTACTGTGTCAAATTTTTCCAGTTATGAGATTAAATTAAGCTTAGAACCCAAACAAGTTAAGTGATAATCCCAGAGCTATTATCATTGAACCCAAGAACTGTGACAAAACAGAATCAAAGACAACGGACAAAGTCACAAAACAGAGTCTGAATCCATGAGAACACTAATTATATTTTATTACCATGCATGTCTTAATCTGGCAACATAATTCTAAATAAGGTTATGTTAAATAAACACATGACATCAAGAAACCTCTGCATCCATCGCTCTTGCTTCACTGTTGCACTTGCACAAAGAGGAATAGTTAACAAAGCTCAGCAGTCAGCAAGTTAGCAACAATATCACAAAAGGTATATAAAAAAAAAAACAAAAAAAAACAGAGCTAATTAAGTTAGCAACACTAAAATCAAGGTTACATACATGCTTCGATTCTTTTTAATTCCAGAGGAAAACTTTCACAGTTCTACTTACTAGCTTCAGAAAATTTATCACGTATATTCTCAATCAAATAAACTATTACACAAGAAATTATATGCTCAATATCATCTCATGGGAAATGTAACAGGGGAAATTTGGTTTCCTAAGGATTTTGTGCAAAGATGGGAACTTGAAGCTGCCAAGAACATTCAAGATGTTTTTTTTTTGATACAACTCAATCTTCATACTAAACTCTCATGATCTCATCACATAGACAATAATTAATCAAATCAATCATTATTATGTAATTAGTTATCTAACTTATCATCAAGAAAATATAGGAAACTAGCTATATGACATTACTATTACTAAAAAAATCCAATGCAATCACCAAAGTCTCATGATACTAATTAACTTCTCAAACTCAATAAGCGAATTGAAAGAAAGAGAGACTCAGTTAGCACAATTGACTGATCTGAAAAATCAAAATATTTGAATGGAAACTTAGAGGTCGATCATGAGCTCTTCCTTGGAACGAACCAGACGCCAAATAAAGCAGCTTGGCTCTTCAATTCCTTGAGAGCCACGGCTTTGTCTGGATTTTGCATGGAACATTCCTGGAAACACGTCTCTCTCTGCGCTCTCTTTTCCAAAACCCTCGCTACACTATTTTAAAACCGATTATATATGGGCTTTGAACTGGGCCTTGTTAGATTATTATCAGGTCCATATCACTCACTATCCGATTAACAACAACTAACTGAAGGAAGAGAAAACCTAGATGGTTGCAGTCAGAAATGACAATGACGATACCGGAGCTGCTTCCAAAGGATTTGGTAGAGGAGATACTCTGTCGCGTTCCGGCGACGTCTCTGAAACGATTACGAGCTACTTGCAAAGCGTGGAATCGTTTATTCAAAGATGATCGGAGATTCGCAAGGAAGCATTTTGGTAAGTCCGCAAAAGAGTTCATACCTCTGTTGTTGAGAAATGACTACAGGATTTTTCCGATTAGCGTTAACCACCATGGAGATAATCCAACTGTAGAGTTAAAAAGTGAGCTGAACGTTTCTGACTCTAAGAAATCAGAAGCTCGATTCGATATAACTCGAGTCATTCACTGTGACGGCTTGTTGTTATGCTCCTCCGAATTCGACGAATCCAGAGTCTTGGTTTTGAACCCTTTAATCGGTGAGACCAGGTGGATCAGAACCCGCGATTTTCACAAAGACGGCCGCAGCTTTGATCTCGGGTACTCTTACCAAGACGACCGCAAATCATGCAATAAGAAGAGCTACAAAATCTTGAGCTATTACCGTGGTACCAAGTATTTCGAAATCTACGATTTAACCTCTAATTCCTGGAAGAGTCTTGATGATATGATCGTTCCAGGCCGGAGCACTGGATTCTCTGAACTCAGCGTGTCTTTGAAGGGAAACACTTACTGGTTCGTTAGAGATGTAACAAAGACGCCCCGCACCATATCCTTGCTCAAATTTGACTTTACAACAGAGGAAACTGTGTATGTGCCTCTTCCCTATCAGACTCGTCGTTTTGAATCTACTAGTCTTTCGGTTGTTGGAGAAGAGAAGCTTTCTGTGTTGTTACAGCGAGATCAAAGTTCCAAGACTGAGATATGGGTGACAAATAGGATGGACGAGACCACCGAAGTGGTGTCTTGGAGCAAGGTCTTAGCATTGGATTTGAACCCTGATCTTAAGCTTTGGAATGATGCAAGTTTCTTGCTAGGTGAGGAGAAGAAAGTCGTCATGTCCTGTGAGAAATTAAGCAACGACGAGGTAGAGGTCGACAAGATTAGAGACATGATCTACATTGTTGGGGAGGATAATGTAGTCACAGAAGTGGAAATTGGAGCTACTGAAATTGATGGATGTCGCCCTGTTCTTCTTAATTATGTTCCAAGTTTGGTTCAAATCTGAGAGAGCTGGGAGCAACAGGATCAGAGGGAACTAAACACCGTCTGCATGTAATTTCTTGAGTTGGGTGTGCGTGTTTCTCTTAGTTTATCTGGTTCATGTTCTCTTTACGCTTTTAAGTATTTCTATTTCAGTGACAAAAGTGATTAAGAAAAAGCATGTACTATTGAGCTTTCATCTCTTCTCTTGATTTTCTTTTCACCCAAGTTTACAAGTTGTACAACTAGAAATCATCACCCAATTCACACCAAAAAAAAAAAACACAATCCCCAAATTACTCGAAACCCCAACTTTGCTTGTTTATACATTGTAACGTGCCAGGCAAGGATCAAGAGATATTGCTGAGATTGGGAAGCATGGCCGAGATATACAGTCCATTAGGTAGAAAATTCCAAAGTAACGTAGCATTAAACAGTCCAATAGAATGGCCAGTTGAAGTAGACGTGGTTGTGTGATTCTTTGTACAGTGTACAACTACGAACACTATAAGAGGCAGAAATGATTACCTTTGGATATGTCTCAGTGGGGTTTCGCTTTAGCACCAAAAAAAAAGTTAAACGAGACTTGTAGATTATCTCCCAGCAGATAATTCTTTTGTTACAAGAGTTCCCCTCAATTGACCAGATTGGACAAAACAACCCTCCACGGCCATAAGAGTAAAGGTAAAATAGATTCAGATCTCAGATCAAACACCTTGTTACAATGACCTCCTCAACCTTCAGCAATCTCCTAAACCATATTCTGTTTTTCTTAATAAAACCGAATAATGAATACTACAAGAGCCAAAAATATCAAAATCTTACTGGATAAGATGGACACAATAGATCCAGATCTTCTCAGTGTTAATGTCATTCATCAAAATGTAATCAACAGCTAGTCAAAAAAGTAAAGTGGAACACAAAATTTCAGTAACAAAGAAACAATATAAGCCACCGACGATATATAATAAAGTTAGTATAGAAACGAAATTTAATGGGTTTGTTGACTTCGTTTCTATAATAACTTTGGCAGCTTTGGAAGTTAATGCTATTTGATAACTCCAAGAGAAGACAGAAGAAAATTAAAAAAAAACACGAATCAGCCAAAACGTCGTCGCAACATGCTCCAAAAACCTTCATCGTCTTGGTGTCGTCTCTGGTCTACAGAGAGTAAAACAAAGTGTATAGTAGTCAGGAAAATTCAAAGTATACAATTAAATTATTTCTATGACTATACATTTTATTATTCATAAATGAAATCCGTATTTTAGTAAGCATTAAATAAGAGAGGTGAAATATAATACTAAAGGAATGGCTATTATTATTTTTATATAAAAATAAAAATAAAAACGAACCTTGTTGTGAGCAGCAGAGCAATTTCTGAATCTCTCTATCTTTCTCTGTTTCGTCCATTTTAATTCCATTAAATGCTTAAACCCCACAATCCATTAATGCTCACTCCTTCCACTTCAATTTTTTTTTCATCATCACCACCGTCCAATTTTCACCTTACATCTCTACCCTACACGTGTCCCTTCTCCTCCATCTCTCCGGCGATAACAGTGCCTCTGGATCTCCGCATCTTAACCGGCTCGATGAGTGTGGTGCTGTTCTGAAGAACATCGGACTCGTCATCGATTTCGTCCGCCGCGATGAGCTTCCCGTCGCTGGAATCCGTTCCGATATCGGGAAAAACACTCCCGCCGATGATCTCCGTCGGAAGAACGGTGATTTCGTGCTTCTGTAGTAACGGAACGAGAACACTCTCGATTTCGAAATTAGGTTTCCGAACGGTGATTGACGTTTGTTCCACGTAGATCTCCTGTATCTCCACGGAGACACCGTCGCTGGCTCCATCGTTACTCTCTCTGATTCCGATTCTCTCTCGCATTCGAACGAGTACGATCTCTTCAGCTCCCGGAACCGAGAAATCGCCGGTGATGATTGCTCTTCCATCGACACTGTGATCTCATGATCGTTCGTCGTGACCGCCGTATCAGCAGAGATTGTGTTCCAACTGCTCCGCGACGGTGTGATTTCGCCGCGGATGATGATCGCGTTACGCTCATCATCGTCGAGGCTCGGGCGAATTCGAGGAGCCATCAACGGAACGAACGGAGACATAGGCGTTAAAACCCCGGCGCCGGCGGATCCGAGAATGGCCGTCCGGCATAGCGGACAGTTAGGGTGAGATCGGAGCCATTCATCGATGCATTCAAGGTGAAAAGCATGGAAACATAACGGAAGTGTTCGTACATAGTCACCTTCTTCGAATTCCAACAAACAAACAGCGCAATCTCTGCAGTCAGCGGTGGAAGATTTCCCGACCGTGGTCTTCCCGGTGCAAGCGGCGGCGGAGTAGAGGAATAAGGGTAGAGTTTTGATGACGGAATCGTCTAATCCGTAGGGAGAGTAAGAAGAGTAGTGAAAAGAGTCGAAAGGGAAAGGGGAAAAGGATCGGAGATCGGAGGAAGATGTGGAAGCAGAGGAAGCTGAAGATAAGTGAAGGAGACGGCGCCGACGGCAACGCCACCGTCGAAAACGACGGAAAAGAGGAGAGATAAAACGGCGGGAGATAAGACGAGAGTAGGTGACGAAAAGAAAAGCGGCGGCTAAAACAACCACCATAGCGATCAGTGGAGGACTAAACTCCAAAGGAGGATCCGATGAACGGGAAAGAATCTCCTCCGATACTCCGGAAGATGGTGAAGGAGACGGTGAAATATCGATGGAACTAAGCGGTGGCGCGACGAATCGCATGGTGGTCTGCTAAAAAAAAAGAGTCTAAAACGAAGAAAAGAGTCTAAAACAGAGCATCCAGTGAAATGTTTAACGTAAAATGAGTATTTGGGGACTTTGTGGCCAAAAAAAAAAAAGCGTTGACTAAAGGTAAACCATATTGGGAAGACTCAAATTTACACGTCAGTGTTTTTTTTTTTGGGGATTCAAACAAATAAAATACGATGATTTTGATTCATAACTAATCAAATAATTGCAGATATGGAAGGCAATCAAATCCGTAGAGTCATTAGATGGTACACTAATCGGGTAATACTAGTATGTTCCGTTCTATAATATTAGCATATAAATTTAGCTTACTAGGAAGTAAGAGATTAGCAAAATGGAATGAGAGAGGATTAAAAAGAGGGAAAGCTAGTGCTCTGTTTTTAGGGTTGTTTGATTTTAATGTAGGTTTGATGTGGTGACCCACTCTGATACTAATGGTTTTTGGCAACTTTATTTAAGTGGATTTTTCGCGACTTTTGTTTTTTTTTTTTTGTTGGTTCTTGTTGTTGTGTGTGTGTGCGTGTTACTTGTTAGGATCAAAAAAACCTTTTTTGGTTCTATCTCCATTTGTTCATATTGGCACCTTGGGTGATCCATCCACTGAACTAGATTTTTTGGTTTTCCTTTTTCGGTGATATAATGAAAGTTATACTTTACTTATCACTCCACTTCAAATTAATGTATTCTTCTTCTTCTTAGACCTATGAGTATGACCAGATACATGCTTACTCGGTGGCAAATAAATTCAACGAGTAATTAATTTAGTCTAAATGACATCATATTTGATTTTTCACGTTTACTAGTACTCGAATAGTCAAGAAAAGATTATGATAGTCAAAGTTTAAGACTGTAATAGTGAAACAAGCCTACTAAACAAATTTACATGTACATAAGTTAGGTCCCCATCATCACTTCTTTCATGAACCAAAATTTACTTTCAAGTATTTTTTTCCTTGGTCAGAAAACAGAAATTACTTACAAAGATCTACTACTACTACTACTCCATACAAAGGTGGCAATAAAGGTGCAATTAAAAACCGGTCAGACGTACTTGCCTTTGGCCTATCTGTACAACCCCCCCCCCCCCCCCCCCAAAAAAAAAAAAAAAAAAAAAAAACACAATGAATCCAGAATTTATTGCTCAACTACTTCCTTTCTTTGAGTCCCGGAGAGATATTTCTTTACATTATTGTTCTTCATGCAAAATTATTATACTCCACAGAAAACAACGCATAACCGGTCACATCAGTTGCATTATGCATTCCGGTCTCAGACTTGAGTTTAACACATCTTTCGGTCTAATACTTATTAGTATGGCTCTTGGTTTAGCGTCTTATCATCGTGTTTTTTTGTTCAGACACTTGTTTATCCCACTGGCTTTCCACTTGTACAACACCTAACCCAACAACGTTTAAGTCATTTATACGAAATCGCAACCATAGCTATTGAGTACAAAAGTGTTCTCTTCTTTTAAAGTAGTTATCTTCACTCATATATTCAGAATGTGACTGGGGACTCTCTACTCCCTCCCGTAGAGACATTGTATTCTAGTAATGAAACTCTACTTGTTAACTTTGTTATTCTGTAACAGACGAACAAACCCAGAAACAAAATAAAAAGGTCTCTATCGGATTCAACCAATCTCAATTGTTCATAAACTTCTCACTGGATCATACTTTTACTACTACAACCTCTGTGTCTAACTCTCTGAGCTACAACAACAGTCTTAAAACATGGACATATCTGGGGGAGCTCCATACATACTCTTCCACGAATACGGTATCCGCCATTTCCCACCTTCTTCCCCTGCAGAAAACAAAACTTATTATTATGTTTTATCCGCTTCCATTATTTATTGCTCAAGATGTTATTAACCTTTATAGAAGAGAGCTGTTTACCATGGAATTTGTCAGGACTCAGACCCGTAAGCTTAGATGCAGCTTCTGCTAGAAGAAATGCTTCAGGAATGTTGTCTCCTTCAGAACAGTAGCATAGCAGGCATGTCACCTTCAAGCCTTTTGCCTAAACCCCAAAACAACATAAATCCCACGCAGGTCATGCAAGTGTTTTAACCATCTAAAATGAGTCTGCCTATGGATAAAATGGTCATTATGAGGCATTTATCTACCTTAAATGCTGAAAAAAGAGCTGCAAATGGCAAGCTTGGGTAGTAGTCTATGTCTTCGAGTTCATCTTCTGAAGGGAAAGTCAAGTCGTCTTCACTGTTCTTCTCAAAGACGGAGCTAAGGTACTTCCAACATCTTCCTTCTGAATCATACTCGTTCAATCTTCCAAATCCGAGCTTCTCACAGTGATCATCTCTTCCATCAGATCCGGTATTAGACAGATAATACACCTGCGGGCCTCTAAAGTAATTGTCAAAGAAGACTGCAAATCAACTTCTGAAGAGTTTGCTTACCAGTAACTATGACAAAAGAAAAACGTGCAAGTGGAGCTCATTTATCTATCACATTTGTAATTAGTCATGATGCTCTTTGCACTAGTCCATGCCAAGTTTCAGGTTGAAGCCATATGATAAAAATTACAGCAAAAAAACATAAAAAAGGTGGCGTTCTAGTTACCTTGACATATCCAAGTTATGCAGCCTTTGGAAGTCTAAACTGGACAGCACAATAACGTGCTTCTTTCCATTTGAAGCAGCAAAATTGGCTATATTCTCCACAAAGTTAATCATCATTCCCTGTTTTTCATCAACATTGTAAGTTTAAAGTGACCCACTAAATTCCCAACTCTTTTACTGAAAGGCTTAACTCTAGATAATTGGCTTTTCATAATCCCAACTCAACAAGCAGTGAATACCATACTGTAATCAAATAAGACCATCTAAATAACGAGGAACAAAACGGCTTCCAAAAAAAAGTACATACCTTTGCAACTGGAGACCGTTGCTGAGCAAGAGTAGTAGAAATTGAAGACGACTCATAAACTGAAACCCATAAAACCAAAGGGGGAAAGAATGAGGTTTCACAACGATAAAGGGGAAATTCAACAAGATAAAGTGGCATAGAAAACAATTTAATAGCCGATAATTTCTTATATATCATCTTAATCATATAAATAATAAACCAGAGGATACTTCATATAACAAAACATAGCAGCACCTCCCCTCGTTACATCAAAATTTGCAATAAAAAAAAGAAGTATATAGTTCGAGAAAACAAACCCTCGAAAGGAAGAGCGATCTCGCCACAAGGAAGAGGGCCATAAGCGTCATTGCCAACACAAGGAAGCAGATTTGGATCATCGAGATAACCAATTCTCTCTGCATCAGTAGATGACACTAGAAGATCAACAGCGAGCTGCCCTACATTCCCAATTGACAATGCAGGCTGGTTGTAAAAACAAAAAACAAAAAAACAATAAGCTCGTCAATGACAAAATCTCTAAGACATTTGTTTGATGAGAAAGATCAATGCCTCTAAACACTAAAAACCCTTTTCCTACAAGCTTAGTATCATTTTCTGAGAATTTCAAAGCTCCCAAGAAAGTTGGGAACTTTCTAATTTCAATAATCAGCTTAATTTCTCAAGAAAGCTTTAATTTTTAAATTTTACAGACGGAAATATCCAAAGGGAAGTAAGCAGAGTCACAGATCGAAATCTGGAAAAGCAAAGGAAACGAAACAACTTACGAGAATTAAAGTTGAGCACTCTTCGTTCACTCGCTTCCCTTCTTCAACAACAAAGTCCATGTTTGAAAACCGAATCGAGAAAGAAAAAAAAAAACAATAGTTACAGAATCTGATTGCAAATTTCGCAAGATCAATTTCGAAGAAAGAAGCTTTATGCTTCAGTAGTTTAGGATGCTTCTTCTTCTCCTCTGTTGGGCGAGCTTGAAGAGCAAGCCAGGGACTAATTTGGGCCTCTATAGGGCCTTAAAACCCAATAAATTTATGGACTATGAAGTATAGAAAGTAATACATGCATTGTAAATGTAGAGAAGATTCATGCAAACTAAAATAAGGACGAAACCAACACTGTTAAATCGAGTGAGTCAAAGATTAGGAATTTAGGATCGGCAAGCAAAGACATACTACATTACAGTGACAAATAGTTAAAAGCAACACGAAAAACGTGTAATAGTTATATGAAATATTTTCACTTGATTAGACAATTATTATCCACAGTGATCCATCCATATCATATCATATGAGGACAAATAAAACAAAAGGAAATAATTTTAAAATGAATTGAGTGAATCATTTTAAAAACGAGCTGCAAAGACTTTGTGATGTTAGTTGTCTCTTCCGTTGGGTACACTCTGTTCCTTGATCGCTCTCTTTTTCGCTTGCATAATTCAAATCGTGATGAAAAATAATAATTACGAAAATAAGGTTAATTAATTAAATTGATTTTTAAATTATGAGAAGAAACCATTCACCTTATCAGTTCTAAATAAATAAAAAGCATGACTATAATTTCAGAAATGTATATATATATATATATATATATATATATATATATATATTTAAAAATTAATAACTATATGCATATGGTATGTTGTTGAACGTTAAAATGAAAAAAAAAATATAATATGGATTTGATTTAAAAAGAAATGGAAGAAGGACACCCGGAGGTCGTCTGTCAAGGAGTGGCGACCAAAAAAGTCTATATTCAATGATATATTACGAAATCAAGAATCTTATCCTCTCTATTTGAAAATTCTGATTAGTTTTAGAGAGAAACAATATAATGTACATTATGTCCATTTGATTAGTTTTATTAACTTGGGACTCCAAACAAAGACTATACCAACCAATGTTTTTTAACTACGAAAACTTTATTTTTGTTATCACACACACGTCGTCTCTGCGATACTCTTCCAATATATCGGGTGAGATGTGTCCCTAAAGATCGTGTTTTTCAAAGAGGGCCAAATGTGATACAATAATATAAGAAGATCATATAATTATCATTATATTTGCTTCTTACATTATCATTGACCATAGTACACACGATATACAATAGCAACGGTTCATGATATATAAATTCATTATGTGTATGATTTTAGACGATTATTTATTAATTTCTTCTCGATTCGAGTATATAGTACTCACCTAACAAATATGTATACTTGGACTAGTTTTCATATATTCATGGTGAGATCACCTTTACGTGTCTTACGAATACGTGTACATTTTGAAGTTTTTTCTTTTTTAGATTTGTGGAATCTGTATGATAAGAAGGAAAACAAATATCAGGCAAATTGGAGAACTTAAAAAAAATTACTAAACCAATATTCAATAAAACTGTGGAATATGGATCAATTTTTTATATTCTAACATGAAATAAGTATTGGTATCTTAACCTTATAAGTTATAATCGACACTACGGCTGCAATAAATCATCATCTATAGTATAGATATAGCTAGTTTGCAAACTAATACTCGATGAGGAGTACTAATTGGTATTAGGGAAAATCTAAACCTTTCTAGACTTCTTGTTAATTATAGAACAATAAGAATATTAAATATCAAAGACGTATATTTGTTATCGTATAAACGGAAAAAAATGGATCACTTCTGTAAAAGTCAGCGCGGACGTTTTCTACATTTCAAAACCTAACATGTCAATAAATAAATCGTAAAGGTGCATTGAACATTATAGTACACATCGTCACATCGCTGTTAGTATTAATGTTTTTTCATCCATATTTGAAGAAAACTGATGGCACAAACCACTAAACAAAAGTATCAAATTTTATGATATTGCACGAAGTCAACAAAAACATTTTCTTTATCCTTGCTTCTTTTTTATTTATTTAAAGACTGTAATTAAACTTCTTGTGCGAACAATATTTATGTTATGTTGCTGATCTTGCTGTAACACGAATGACGAGTTTTGGTGATATGAAAGAAGATATTTCTCAATTTACATCCCCAAAGAGCCTTGCGTGTAAAAATCTCACGTCCTATATCATCGACTACGTACATATATATCTATGTTAAATTCTTCAAAAGACTTCTTTTTTTATATTGCCTACGTTTTCAATTTTAACTTTCAACTAATTAGTACCAAGTTATCAATGAAACTAATATAAAGTCAAAGATAATTATTGTGTGAATAATTATATTAAGACGAAAAATTTATCAAAACTAGCTCGTTTCAATCTACCAAATCTATCATATGATATATAAAATCTTTGACTTCCGTACACCCATTGTGGCATTGTATTAGTGAATAAATAATCGATTATATAATAAGCTAGTATACTTTAACTTGTAAATAACTACAATTGTATACAAACTTTGTTTAGATGTGTCAAACTATATTCTTAAAAGTATAATAATTTTTCTCCATATATAGAAAGCTCAGATTATATTCGGACCACGCAGCGAGTGCCGAGTGGGATCAACTAAGCCACCCATAATATAACATTCTCCCCATTTACATAATTATTTCAGAATTACTTGCTTATTGGGTAACAAAATTTTGTTTCTTTGTTCATTTGTCACATTGATATGGTTGTGTGAAACTTCAAAGTTCCAAAGATATAGTGGCGTTTTTATGAAAATGATTTTAATTGGTTTTATTTATGTATGGCGTTGGAAATTAGAGTAATCCTTAGCATTTCTGTAATTGGTATTGTATATATGGGGCTTGTACGTTTGCCATGGTTGTGACGGCATGCGTACGTACCATTGGTATTATTTTTCTTTTTGTTAAAACGTACTATTTCCCATTTGTATTTGAGACTACGATTTTTTGTTTGTTTGGAACTGTAGTTATATATCAGACAACGATTGATCGTGTAATAAATCAAAACTTATCACATAATTAATAATGCATGCATGTCGTGTCAAATGAACGGCGTGTATTATATTCCTGTATAATGAAGAAAAAAAAAATGAAAACTTGTCTGATTAAAACGATAGTTTAGTTCTGGTTACCGAAAGTGACAACTTCACTTCGAATCATTAATTAAGGTCTATCTAGACTAAGAAGATCGAGTGGTCATAATCTGTCCGAAAAGTCATTGGAAATTCGAAGGCAAGGCGCGGTACGTAAAATATAACAAATTTTTTTTAAAAAAAAATATATAGCACTGACTATACAGCAATTACAATGGTGATATTTCAGCTGAATAAATATATAGTGTATTAAGTTAGTAGAAAATAAAGTTAAAGGTAATATGTTAATTACTAGTTAAATTATCCTAATTATTCATTTTTTAATGAAAATTATCCTACTAGTTTAGCATGGTCATACGTACCTTTCCACTCTTTACTCTTCATTTTTCTTTAGCATTTAGCAACCACCTTAACTACTTCTCAGTTTTGATTAATAATACAAATATGAACTTTTCGTGTTATACGTATTGATATCGTAATAACAGCGTCTGAAATGGAACATAGATGTCGTTTCTAGACCATTGTAATATGTAATGTCCATTAGCATGCAAGTACCATCCATAGCCGTGGGCGTGTGGAAATTAAACTAGACAGACTATAGGGTTCGATAACTGACCATGCGTTACCATAGTTCGATCGAGTCCCATGACCATTGACAATTAACAATTTCCATATTTGTTCCAACATTTTTTTTTATAATATATGGATATGGAGAAAAGGTAAAAGGAGGATTTATTTTTTATACGAAACCCTAAAAATGTCAAAACTCGTCTAGCTGTCAATGATCGTTTTCATTTAATTAGGGTTTGACTTTAGAGATCGATCGGATAATTATTTTCTTCTTATTATTTTCTTCTTCTTAACTTACATGAAATCTACAAAGCTATACTAGTTTTGGAATCTCAAGGTTTTTATTTATGTTTTCGAATCTCTAAATTAAAAACTTAACATCTGTGACTAATAAAAAAAGAAAATTTAACATTCTTATTTGAGAAGAGAAGATCCCAACCCATATATATGAGATAGTTATCCAAAAATGTACTTTACATGCCATCTTTTTCTTTATCATCGTAATGAAAGTCAATATCGAAATGAAAAGACCATTTCTTTTATCGCAACGAAAGTCAATCAACTTGTATGAAAGTTTTATTTCGGTTTTATCATATTTTATAAATACACATGAGAAAATGTGTTGCGACTTGTGCTCTTTCTTCTTTGTCGGCGTTTTGATCCGTACCTAAGGAAAAATGTTACAATATATATTATTATCAAACAAACATATATATATATATATATATAATGGTTAATGTATGTGATGTGCTAACTAAAACCTTAAAAATTATACAAATATATTCAAAATTTCATTTAGTAAAATAAAGAAAACTGAAGCCTTCTTAAATTTAACACTTAAACGTACGTCGTGAATGTTAAATATGGCGTAGACCAAATTACAACATCGAGGCTTTGTGGTTAAAGATGGATAAGAATCGCGTCCATTCACGTACGTACATCAGTCTCCTTGGAAGTTCTATTTCCATTTTTTTTTTTACCATTTTCTAAACTCACAATAGAAGATAATATTGCATTCGATCTGCTTCATATCACATCTTGACCATATCCAAAACTAAACCTACTCTTTCGTCTTTCACTTTTTCGAAGTCACATTGATTAGAGTATATGAAGTTTTGTGGAACGACACTCTCCATTTGTTTTGGTTCTCCGGTTCTTCCCCCTCCCCCACATTACCATAATATATTATCTCATAAGCAGTGCATGTTAAGAAATTAATATGTCAAAGGAAAATAAATTACAATACTGAGATAAGTTGAATTCAGTTCATCTCTTATCATCATATATCAGCCGATCCGTCTTCACAGAAAAAAAAAATTTAACAAGAACAATATTAAGTTTTCGTATGATACATCCAAGTATCCGATAAATCTTGAAATGGTCTCGTACTGTCGTACACATACTTAAAATATCTTGTATGTAGTTTCTATTATTCTATATCTAATGGATATTGAATATTGGTATCATTGATATTTATTTAATTTGTAAATTTCACAAATATCATTTTCTAGATTAAATTCCAATGGAAATGGATTAAAAAGAAATGGTCCATCGATGTAGTACAAAAAGACTTCCTTATCGGTTGGTTGGTTCACGGAGGGAGATCAAGGGAGTCGTCATAAAAATTCAAAACATCTGGAAGAAAACTAGTTTTTTCCTTTCACATGTCGAAAATAAAAAAGCCCCCAAAATAAAAATCAAAACTCAGGTTGGAACAATAGTGTAATCGTCACGTAATGTTTTACATATGCAACGTGTGAAGATGATCGGCCGCCAACACAGCCACACACGCGTTATCTTCATTCAACCAACTCCCTAAACTAAAACTATAAACCGAATCTTCGTACGGACGCATCTCATGTTTTACATATTTTCACATTGCCCAATACCAATATGTAAAACTACTCTTGTCATTTTTTCTTTCTTATACACTAAAAAAACAATGGAAAATTAATTATTATTAATAGATAATTAAAACCAAACTACAACATCTCATTTTATCATACACACATCTGTTTTGAGACCGTCCACTTAGTTTTTTTTTTTTTTTTTCACCCGACGACCGTCCTTTGAGCTTTTTATCAGTCAACAGTTTTTAATTTAAATTTCCAAAGTTGCTTTACATTGTGTTTAGTAGTAGTAATTAATCTTTTCTTAAATAAATGATACAGGCGGGTCTCTTCATGTGAAAACTGGCGCTCCCGGTATCTGACGGTCACGTCTTCGGTCTTTAACACCACGTGTCATTCACCCATGTCGTCCGTTCAACAACCCTTTTTTCTATTTTTTTCTCTCTATATATAAACCAATCCCAAGTTCCCAACGTCCTCCATTTACACACTCTTTACATTTCTTACCAAACTCATAAAAAAAATTAGTTTTCTCTCCAAATCCTCAGAAACAAATATTTCCAACTTCTTTTCCTTTTTCTCCCACACGACAAGGAAATTTAAAACCCTCATAATTCCTTGACCAAAGAAAAATATAAAACCTTCCAACTGCTGCCCAGCTCAAATTATTATTCTTTTGTGTTATCTTGTAAACAATATGGTTATAGCTACAGAAACCACCAGTTCTAGTAGTAGTAGTCATCACCGGAGACTCACTTTCGCCGCCTTCTTAAACTCCGATCCCGCTGCCGAAGAAGAAGAACAACGGAGCCATGGCGTTGATCATGATGTCATCAATCCCACTACTACTAGCAACAACAACAAAATGAACAAGGATGTCCATTATTACCAACAACGCCAAAGCAATGCTTCGACTACTAGCGGCGAGTCGTCTCCTAATCAGGTTCTGTCCCCATGGAATCAATCTTACTCTCCTTACTACACCGACACCACAACGACTCCGTCCATGTCTCCCTCCCCGTGGAACCAAACTTACTCTCCCTACTACAAGTCTCCTTGGATCTACCAGACTCGAAACATGGATGCTGATACCGACAACGGTTTGATCGGTACGATCGTCAGACAAGACGGTCATGTCTACTCGTTAGCTGCTTCGGGAGATCTCTTATTCACCGGATCCGATTCCAAGAATATTCGTGTTTGGAAAGATCTCAAGGACTTCACCGGGTTTAAATCAACAAGCGGATTGGTCAAAGCCATTGTGATAACCGGAGATAACCGGATTTTCACCGGTCATCAAGACGGTAAAATCCGGGTTTGGAGAGGTTCTAAAAGAAGAACCGGGAGCTATTCACGAGTCGGGAGCTTGCCGACGTTGAAGGAGTTTTTGACAAAGTCAGTGAACCCGAAGAACTACGTCGAGGTTCGTCGCCGGAAAAATGTTCTCAAGATTCGTCATTACGACGCCGTTTCGTGTCTTAGCTTGAACGAAGAGCTCGGTTTACTCTACTCCGGCTCGTGGGACAAGACTCTCAAAGTCTGGAGATTATCTGATTCGAAATGTCTTGAATCCATTCAAGCTCACGACGACGCCATCAATACGGTGGCTACTGGTTTCGACGATTTGCTATTCACCGGATCCGCCGACGGAACTTTGAAAGTGTGGAAACGTGAGCTTCAAGGCAAAGGGACGAAACATTTCCTGGTTAATGTGTTGATGAAGCAAGAGAACGCTGTAACGGCCTTAGCGGTTAATTTAACAGCGGCGGTAGTTTACTGTGGTTCTTCTGACGGCACCGTTAATTTCTGGGAAGGGCAAAAATTTCTTTCACACGGCGGAACTCTACGCGGCCACCGTATGGCGGTGCTCTGCCTCGCCGCCGCCGGGAGTCTGGTTTTAAGCGGCGGAGCTGATAAGAACATTTGCGTGTGGAGGAGAAACGTCGATGCGACGCACTCGTGTCTCTCCGTCTTGATGGACCACGTGGGACCTGTGAAGTGTTTGACGGCGGTGGAAGAGACGGAGGAGGAAGGCGGCGGTGAGAATGGAGATCAGAAATGGATAGTGTATAGCGGAAGCTTGGACAAATCTGTGAAAGTCTGGCGCGTGAAGGAGACGGCGTCTACAGTTAGTGGCTGAGATGTGTTTAGAGGGAGGAGAGAGCACGCGCCGCCTTAAACGCGTGAAGATATGGAGTATGGTAAAGGGGAATGTTCCGCGGCCCATGTGATTCCTGCCGTTGTGGTCAAGACAAAGATTTTTTTTATGGCCGGCTAAAAGAAGCAGTTCACACAACCAATAGGAAACTGCCACGTCATGAAAAGTATCTAAAAGGCGTTTTAGAAAGTTCCTCTAGTTTATTCGATCTTCTTGTAAACTGCACATACTTATTTTGAGTTACGTTTTAGAAAAACATTGTTTCATTGTATTGAATCATTTGTTTATTTATTAATTCTTACTGAAATTCGTTTAATATTCATATTTCTTTTTATTCGTTATTATTTAACAATAGTTCTTGTCTAAGAGAAAAATTGGAAGGGAAGATTAGTAATATGTACGTTATAGGATGATTTGTTAGTTCAATTTTGTTGAAAAGGAAGAAAGTCATTGAAAAAAATGGGATATAAAACTTTTTCCTGGTGTGTTCGTGAATGTGAAAAAGTATCATTTTCGTGGGATTTAAGAAGTTTGGTACACATTTATACATGTATGAAATGCGCATATATAACTTGACATCCAAACACGCCTTTCTATTTCTAATAAATCTCAACTCAATAATAACTTGAAGAATCTAATCGATCTTAATTAATTGATTTCTAGATATTATCACACAACTTTGTTTTTTGCTGAAGTAGGACAAATACAATCAGTTGTTCTTGCCGTAAGATTAATTAGTTGCATGTTCGCTTTGAAAACTTGACCATTGATAGTGTCATAAGTCATAACTCATATAAAAGTCGAGAAAGTATAGTAAATGGTATACATTGATGGAATATGAAATATGACGCAGTCAAATATTTGTTCAGATTCTTCTCCTATTTTCTAGGAAGATATTTAACTTGTTTGTGTTTATATAGTTTGTAAATCTCGATTGTAAACACTCAAGAAAATACACAATCTTTCATGGTATCAGAGCCTCATCGCTCTTAATCTCTTCTTCTCTTCTATTCTTCTTCTTCTTCTCCTTCAATTTTTTCTTCTCTGCTTCAATGGCTGCTGTCACTGAACGTGCCTTTGGTGTCACCAACATCAAGTCACACATTCCCTTGATTCTCGATTTGAATGATCATAACTACGATGCTTGGAGAGAATTGTTTCTCACACATTGCCTTACGTTTGATGTTCTCGGTCATGTCGATGGCTCCTCACATCCTGCGAATGATGCTGATCAACCTTGGTTGAAACGAGATGGTCTGGTCAAGCTATGGATCTATGGTACTTTAGCACCTCCACTATTCAAATCAACATTCAAGACAGGAGGAACAGCGAGAGACATTTAGCTACGGATCGAGAACCAATTCCGCAACAACAAAGATGCGAGAGTCATGCAAATCGATAATGAACTTCGAACTCTGGAGATTGGAAATCAATCGATACAAGACTACTGTCAAGCTCTCAAATCCTTGGCAGATCTTCTATCAAACCTTGATTCTCCTGTCAATGATCGAAACCTGGTGATGTACATGCTGAATGGTCTGAATGAAAAATTTGACAACATCATCAATGTTATCAAACATCAGAAACCATTACCGTCGTTTGATGATGCCAAATCAATGCTTCAGGACGAAGAGTCTCGGCTTAAAAAGGCGCACAAGGCCATTGCTTCACACTCTGCTCATGCCTCATCTCCTGCAGCACTTGTAACGACAAACACATCAGATCAAACGCAACAGAATCAGACCAGTGAGAACAAGAACTATCGTCCATGGCGTCGCAACAACCATCGAAACAACAAAGGTCGCAACAATCAGCAGAGCACACAGCCACAACAACAACAACAGAGACCTCAGTTTCCTTCATGGGGTCCTCCTGCTTATTGGCCAACCCCATATCCGTCTTGGCAGCCATCACCCTACACTCCATGGAGTCCATATCCGACGAACTTCCACAATCGCGGACTATTGGGACCTAGCCCGAGATCACAGAACTCTTCACAGGCTGAAGCGCATATAGCTAGTCTTCAACCTACAAGAGACTTTGCTGAAGCTTTCAACACCATGACTCTCACAGACCCTTCCTCTGGAGGCTGGTACATGGACTCTGCAGCTACAGCTCACTTAGCATCTTCGGCAGGTATGCTCCAATCTGTTGTTAATTCGAATATCAAAAATTCAGTCATTGTTGGCAACGGTTCTTCCATTCCTGTTTCTCTCACTGGCTTTACTTCTCTTCCTTCCTCCACTCGTCCTCTCAATCTCCATAACGTTCTTGTCACTCCCAAAATCATCAAAAATTTAATTTCTGTTCGTCAATTCACAAAAGACAACGCTTGTAGTGTTGAATTTGACCCCTTTGGTTTTTCTGTGAAGGATCTTCTCACTCGGACGAGTCTGCTCCGCAGTGACAGTAATGGAGATCTTTATCCTCTTCAACCTCTTCTCAATAAAACAGCCAAATCTCATTCCGCCTGCTTATCCGTTTCTCCATCTCTTTGGCACATGAGACTCGGACACACCAATACTGAGACTCTAAAATCTCTTCTTGCTTCTAATAAATTCGATTGTAATAAGATAAGATTACCCTCTTCTTGTAATGCTTGTCAATTGGGAAAACATGTTAAGCTTCCGTTTCATCAATCGAAATCAGTTTCTTCTGCACCTTTTGAACTTATTCATTCTGATGTTTGGACCTCCCCTATTCCAAGCATGAGTGGTCTTCGTTATTATGTTCTTTTCCTTGATGATTTCTCGCATTTTCTATGGGTATATCCTCTTCGTCGAAAAAATGAAGTCCTTACCAAATTTCTTCACTTTTCTGCGTACGTTTAAACCCAATTCAATGCCAATATCAAATCTTTTCAATGTGATAATGGTGGTGAATTTGTGAATGAGCAGTTTGCTCGTCACTTTGATGAAAATGGAATCAAAGTTCGATTCTCTTGTCCTCATACTTCCCAACAAAATGGAAAGTCAGAGAGAATGATTCGTTCCATCAACAACACCATAAGAACATTATTGTTTCAAGCTCAACTTCCACCAACTTACTGGGCTGAAGCTCTTCACACCACCACTCATCTTCTAAACATTCTTCCCTCTTCTACTATAAATTTACAAAGTCCATATGTTGTTCTTTTTCAAAAAGAGCCAACATACGATCACCTCAGGGTCTTTGGGTGTCTTTGCTATCCAAACTTAAACAATTCACCTACACATAAACTTTCCCCTCGTTCTGCTCCTTGTCTCTTCCTTGGTTATCCTACGCAACACCGAGGTTATCGATGTCTGGACCTAAAAAATAATAAGATTATTATTTCCAGACATGTGGTTTTTGATGAAAGTATTTTCCCGGCAGCTAATAATAAGTCTCAAACTCTACAAACGTATGATTTTTTAAATCACGTTGATGAGCCATCAGCTATGTTTAAGGAAATACTTCAAGCTCCAAGCCACAATATTCCTCAGCCCACTATTCCTCAACAAGTTGAACCTCCACCTCAAACTGTTGTGCAACCATCGATTCCTAAAGCTTCTTGCCACCCCATGGCAACAAGAAGTAAAACAGGAACGAAAACAACTAGAAACCAAGCTCTTATTACTTCCTCTGTTTCGCCTATTCCCACTACTCACCAAAAAGCTTTGTCAGATCCGAACTGGAACCCAGCAGTGACTGATGAATATGATGCTCAAATTAACAATAAGACCTGGAGTCTAGTACCTCGACCCGAAAATGCTAACATTGTTAATTCTATGTGGTTGTATAAGTATAAACATGATGCAGATGGGAACCTCACTTGATACAAGGCAAGATTAGTTGCGAACGGCAAAACTCAAGAGGAAGGCATTGACTACTTTGAGACGTTTGCTCCAGTTGTTAAACCAGCAACGATTACGGCTGTTCTGCATGTTGCGGTTTCTAAAGGCTGGAACACCAAACAACTTGATGTTAAAAATGCCTTTCTCCACGGGGATCTCACAGAGACAATATATATGCATCAGCCACCTGGTTTTGTAGACAAGAACAATCCGAGCTATGTCTGCAAGTTACATAAGGCTATTTACGGACTGAAACAAGCTCCACGGGCGTGGAATGCAAGGTTCACAAAGTTTGTGTCAAAGCTTGGTTTTACAATGTGTAAAAGTGATAATTCTCTATTTGTCTTCAAAAAAGGTCAGGACATTGCTTATCTCCTGCTTTATGTCGATGATATCATTCTCACAGGCTCAACTCAAGCTTTGATAGATCACATCACGATGTCACTGAAAACAGAATTCCCAATGACTGATGGAGGCCGTTTAAGCTACTTTCTTGGTGTAAAAGCAGAGCACAACAATGCTGGGATTATGCTCTCTCAAACTCATTACGCTAAGGACATCATCACAAAAGCAGGAATGCAAGAGTGCAAACCAGTCTCAACACCAGTTGATGTAAACTCAAAGCTAACGGGTGAGTGTGGAGAACGTATACCAAATTCCAAAGAATATCGGAGTTTGGCAGGAGCATTGCAATATCTAACATTTACAAGACCAGACATCTCTTATGCAGTGCAGCAAGTCTGTCTGTTTATGCACGATCCCAGAATTCCACACATGCAAGCTTTAAAGCGTATCATTCGGTACATTCAAGGAACACAAACGCATGGACTTCAGCTGTACCGTGGCAAGATAGGAACGTTGACAGCATATACTGACGCAGATTGGGCAGGTTGTTCAGATACAAGACGATCAACATCGGGTTATTGTGTTTATCTTGGAGAGAACTTAATCTCCTGGTCATCGAAACGTCAACAAACAGTTTCTCGTTCAAGTGCTGAATCAGAGTACAAAGGTGTTGCAAATGTGGTTGCAGAGACATGTTGGATTCGTAACTTGCTTCTTGAGATGCATTGTCCGATGAACACAGCGACTTTGGTCTACTGTGACAACATAAGCACTGTGTATTTGTCAAACAATCCGGTTCAGCACCAGCGAACAAAACACATAGAGATTGATCTTCATTTTGTTCGGGAAAAAGTTGCTCTTGGTCAGGTGAAAGTAATACATGTTCCTTCTTCTCTACAGTTTGCAGACGTATTCACTAAAGGCTTGCCTACGATGTTATTCAACCAATTTCGGTCCAGTTTAACCGTCCGAAGCTCAGACGATTTCACTGAGGGGGAGTGATGGAATATGAAATATGACGCAGTCAAATATTTGTTCAGATTCTTCTCCTATTTTCTAGGAAGATATTTAACTTGTTTGTGTTTATATAGTTTGTAAATCTCGATTGTAAACACTCAAGAAAATACACAATCTTTCATACATTACCTTTGATAATGGCAGATAGTAAAACAAACAAAAAACGTGAATGAATGTGCGAGAATGTTAAACAGATGATTGGTTTAGACTTTAGAGGCTAGTAAAACCCCCTTTTATAGTATACAAAGGTACCACATAGATATATAGATCATAGATTGGATCTCATACGTTTTTGGATTATTTCTAAATTGATCGAATAGAAAACCGAAATAAGAAATTTGAAATATATTCGTATGTTTGGTAAAATTGTTGGTTCAGTCTGTTGACAAAAGATGTAGCCATTGGAAAATTAAAGAGGAAATGTAATATTTTACGCTTGTCTTAAGAACGTACTTAAAAAGTCTCCTTTTCTTTGGATTTACGTTTGATATACAAATCTTTTGTATAAACTAACTACGTATATGTATAATATATATATATCTATGCACACTGACATATACATGCACCCAGCAGGCCAGCACCCTTTCAGAAGATCACTACAAGAAATATCTGAGAATGATTTGAAATGGGTATTATCGTCTCTGTGTGTTTTCTCTTGATTTTAAGGTTACAACAACAAACATCGAAGTTAAATATTGTGCGCCACCATAGTTAGGCAAATCCCCACTAGTTTCTTGTACATTTGACTTTAGTTAATTAAGAATGATTATGCCCATAATCTTGACTATTTTACTCTTCAATGTTAATTATAAAATTAATTTTCATATGGTAGACTATTATATATACTATATAGGTCTTGTTAAGTAAACTTCACTTTTCGTTTTCAGTATTGTGTATAAAATGTTCTCTTAAACCGTAGGCATGCATGTAAATAATTTGTAAAGCACGATTTCAATTAAAATAATTTTATGCTCACACACGCATTCAGCAGTCAGTGGTTTTATAGGTAGCTATAATTAACAAGGTATAAGTATTAGTATATGTTTTGGTTGTTCTTAATCTTATTTTTGATTAAATATTAGATTATTAACCCCTATGTTAGGAGAAGTAAATGTAACCGACCTTAGCTCAGTTGGTAGAGCGGAAGACTGTAGTCGTTTGCAGACAATCTTTAGGTCGCTGGTTCGATTCCGGCAGGTCGGAAAGTTTTTCAAAAAATTTTAAACTCAGAATTGGGCTTTAAGAGATAAAAACCAGCCCATATTATGATTGTGCTTAAAAAACCCAGATCCAGTTTCATAAACTGGGTTATACAAGTGTTCATGCTTTTGGTTCCAAATTATGTACATCAAGTAGTAACAATGGTACACTGGTCTAGTTCACAACTTTGACTAGTGTTTTTTTTTTCTTTCTGATAGTCACCTGAATTTTCTTTCTTGGGCATGTGCTGTGCTGTGCGCCTGTACTTCACTACTTTGGTTAATTTCCACCTTTTACGTCCTTTAGTTTTTTAAAAAGCTATGATAATGTCTTTAGTGGAGAGAACTGTGTTGTAAGAAAACAAAAGAGTCTTGGAAACTACAAAGAGTTAAAGTAACTTTGTCACTTTGTCAGATAAAAAAATCTTACCAATGTAACGACAGAAAAACTTATCTGCCTTCTCGGTTTCTCTTTTTACGGCTTTTAACTCTCTCCCCCCCCCTCACTCACTCATCAGTCATCACTCTTCACTTTCTCCTTCCCTTCTATGAGCGAAACAAAAAATTAAAAATGGTTACAACCCGGAAAACGATGGCCAGAGACACCTTCTCCTCTCATCGCCGACAACCGCAAGATCCTGAGTCGCCGGTGAAGAAGTTCTTCAAGTTGGTCTTACCTTCAACAATGGAGAATAACATGATGGTAAATTAACAACACTTTTTATTACTGTTTGCATGTTTTGTTATTTGATTCGATTCGTTTTGTTGCTTTGCAATTTCTAGAGATTATATCAACAGATTTCACTAAACAGCTCTCCGTATTCTTGTTTTAGGAACCTAAAAGTGAGATTAGATTGACTTATCTCTCTTCTTAAGACATGCAGATCTGACATGTTGTAACCTGTTTCTGAAAAATACTGACAATGTTTTATAAACTCTAAAATCAGAGGATACCGCCAAAATTCGTGAAGCTACAAGGGTCTAAATTCCCTGATGTTGTTACATTGGAGACTCCTGTGGGATTCAAGCGTTCGATAAAGCTCAAACGGATCGGTCAAGAGATTTGGTTCCATGAGGGCTGGAGTGAATTTGCAGAGGCTCATTCCATCAAGGAAGGCCACTTTCTCTCGTTCGAATACGACGAGAATTCGAGTTTCCATGTAATAATCTTCAATGTTTCCGCTTCCGAAATTGACTATCCACCAGATGCACTTCAGATCAGTGACAGCGACGATGATATAGTCGATATTACAGACAAAGGGTTTATTGGAACTCAAGGTACAAGGAACAATGATCAATCTGTTAATGGTGAGCACAAACTCAAGAAGAGACCAAGAGACATCGAGTTAGACAAGATTCTACACAGTAAGAACACTTTGTTCTCCATAACCTTATGATTAACAAGATTGGGATCTGAATATCTTTATCTGTGTGTAGAAGTTGATGTGCTCGATTCAAACCAAGTGCTCAAGGAAGAAGAAGAAGACGACAAGAGAGTCTTCAGGGGATAACAGAGCTTTTAACAGAGACCTGCGAGTGTATTTGTTGTGTAATGTTAATTATGACTTGGATGAAACTAAGAATTGCACAATAAGTAGTGTTCTGATCCTGACCTGTAACAAGCTATTTTAAACAAAACTGAAACCTGGTCTTGTTTTTATTCTTCTTTCTTTCATCTCGTTCCTCAGCTTCTCTACCTCTAACCATTTCCCTTTATGAGCTAACACATTCGATAAAGCTACATAATCTTCACATTCAGAACTTGAAAACGAAAACTTCTTCTTCTCCTCTTGTTCTATCTCGAGGAGAGCCTTTCCGATCTCTTCACCCATTACAGTCTCTCCATAAATGCTGCACGCATTGCAGAGACTTCTTAACAAGATAGCGTCTGGTTTTATAGGCATAGCTAAAACAAAATCATAAGCTTCTTGTATCCGCCCTGTTTTACCAAGAAGATCTACAATGCATCCGTAGTGTTGAATCACCGGTGTGATACCAAATCTTGTCTTCATGCTTATGAACAGCTCGATTCCTTCTTGAACAAGACCTATATGACGATAAGCAGATAGCAAGCTAGTGAAAGTTATCTCGTTTGGTTTGATCCCAGATTCCGCCATTCGGTTTAGAAGATTTTGTGTTTCGTTTCCTCTTCCATTGAGAGCTAGCCCTGTTGCCAGTGAAGTCCATGTCAAGACATTCTTCACTTTCATTAACTCAAACACAGAGAAGGCGCTATTTAAGCACCCGCACTTTGAGTACATGTCGACAAGTCCAGTACCAATGAAGACATCAACTTCAGGAGTGAAACCGAGTTTTTCTATGTAACCATGAACTAGACAACCAATTTCGAGCAAACCCGTCTGAGAAATGGCTGAAAGAACACAAACCATGGTTGTATCAGTAGGTCTAACTCCATTACCGCAGCAAGAGAACCTCCGAAACAAAATCATAGCCTTTCTAGCATTGTGATTCCCTTTGTCCTTATGTGAACAATATCCACCGATCATTGCGTTCCATGTAACACAGGTTCTCTCAGGTATTTCATCAAACACCTTCCTCGCGTAACGTAAATCCCCATTCTTAGCGTAGAAATGGAGTAAAGTGGTTCCAATCAGCTCAGATTCATAGAGAAATCCAAGCTTTTTCACCATACCATGAACAATTCTACCAACCCGTAACGCTGACGACGAAGCTGACCTAGCACAAGCGCCAAGAACGAAGACAAACGTGCGCTCATTGAGATAAAGCAACGAACTTTTTGATGCCCAGCTGGTGAAAATTCGAATTGAGTCCTCTGGTTTGCTACATTTAAGCAATGTGTTGAAGAGAAACTTGTCAGGATGGCCAAATCGAGGAAACACCAGCAAATGAGTAAGCTTGGAGCTTTCTGTCGATGGCTTTGAACAGTATTGGCCTATAAGCTTGCCGAAAAGAGAATTATCTTGGCAGCCATTGATTATCAGTTGAGCATGGATTTGCTTAGCCTGAAACAGAGTTTTCGAGTTCTGATTCAACAAGGACACAAATCTTGGTCCAGGAAAAACAGAGCTCATAAGCACCAAACTTTGATTATGTATTAAGGCAAAGAGAAGGAGAAACAAAAACAAGGAGATCAAGAAAAATTGAAGAGTTCACAGCACAAACACAAACCCATCTTCATCATATCATCATTATGGTCATAAGTTCAGATACCAAATTGATGGAGATTAGGTATTTACAAACTTTTAAAACTTCTTAAACCCTAACTTCTTCTACTCAAACAATTTGAGTTCCACTCCGAGGTTATATATAATGAGTAAAAACAACATATCCACATCGAAAGCACAACTAAACCCGAGAAGAAAAAAAACGAGACACTGACGCAATGACACGGACAGAGAGAGAGAGTTTTAGTTGTTTTTAAATTAAGATACCCTACACGAAATTGTACTTGGAAATCCCCACTGCAGACTGATCACACCATAACACTTTGCTCAGACGTACTCACTGACTCGAAAGGCCGTTACTTTCAGAACGAAATCTCTGGTTCTGAGCAGCTCGAACACACACACGTCTCCTTCTCCTAGGTTGTTCTCCAGAGTAAACTCGTACCATCCTTGACTGAATTTGGCTCTCCCAGCTTTGTAGAGACATCGTACAGGCCATTGTTTCTCCGCCAGCTGGACCTTGATGAACCCAGAGATCCCACTTAGGTACTTCTCAGCAAACCCCGAAGGAAGATACTGTTGAAAGAAACCGAAACATAAGACTTCTTTAGAGATCAGTGAGCAGAGAAGACAGATAAGACTAAGTCTTCCTATGATGGTTTTATTACCATGATGCAGCCTCTGTATAGATAGGATGGTCGCAGGACAACTCTGAAGAAAGGGTTTGTTGGCTCGAACGTTTTGGCTGCATTGATGGCCCTCTCTCTTTCTTCTGCAGTCACGGTTCTCTTTCTAGCAGAAGCACTCTCGTAGAACTTTGAACGGTTCTCTGGGTCATCATCGCGAGGAGCAGATGAGTTTATTTCCTCTGTAAGTATCAAAAGGATTATATCATGAGGAGGAATCTTTGAAGCCTCTGAAAAAGAGTCTGAAGCATTTAAAAAGGGTGAAATGCTTACCAGGATCAGCATTTTTCTTCTTCCTCCCTCTCTTTTTCGGAATTTTTGGGGTTGGCATTGATTCTTCAGCTGAAGAAAAGGTTAATATCAACCATCAGCCTTAAAAAAGGATAAACGGGTAATGAGCGAAAGATAAAGGAAATCAGTTGCTTATAATGTCACCTTTAACAGATCCAGAGAATAAGCTTTGGATGGCTGAACCAGTATACCCTTTATTGGCTTGTACTGTAGACTCAGGAAGTGTTGATGGGTACAAGGAAGAAGGATAGATGACCTCGGCATCTTCATCTTCAAGGTCTTCAAATAAACGGGCGCGTTTGAAGTGGTTGTGTGCGGAATCCATGAGACCGGTTGAATGGTAATTGATTTCAGAGTGTGATAAATTGAAAATGTAGACGCTGAAGGCAGAGTTTCCTTCATATCTAAAAATCAAAAGATAACCAATGCGAATGGAGTAACGGTCAACAAACTCTTGCCAACCATCTTGAAACCAAATTTTGTTGTCAGCTTTCCTTAGTCCTACACGCCAAACATGACCATCAGGTACTGTGAGTGCAACAGCAACCGAAAGCTCATCCTTGAATTTACTCACAAACTTATCTGGGACTCTCTGCACAAGCATACTGGTATGAGATACAAAGTAGCATATAAAGGTCCACAAGATCTATAAGACTGACACAAAATATAGCAAGAACATAAAATTAAAGTGGACAACTTTCAGCGAAAAGATCCAATAAACACAAATGTTGAAGAAAAGACGGCTTTACCTAATTGAAAAAGACAATCCAACTGGCCATATATCAGTTTAGAAGGCATCAACAAGGAGACACAGTCCATTACTACACATGTAACATGGTACATTTATCTCTGAATAGATTGAACATGCAACTCCTATGATTTTATCACATTGATCATATTCTTGTCAACATAACTGCCCTGTGTAAATCGAGAGCAAGATTCCAAGCAAGTATCTTCACTTATGTGCTAAATGGAGAGCTAAACAGTACTTGGGTCTGTTCAAAACAATGCACAAACTTTTCTTGGTGCAATCTGCTTAAGTGTTGACTAATCACCGTATATAATACGGTGAGCATAAAGCAGGTAACATTAAAACACAAACATAATACAGAGACGTTCAAAACCAAGTCAACTACTCAGTTTTTGAGGATTTTCACTCACAAGCCACAATAAGGAGTCTTAACAATCTCAGACCTCCTAAGTCAAACTAAGAAAGCAGTCAAAAGAGGAGTAAACAAAGACATACAATTACAATCGAGAAACCATAAACAGATCTCAGCTTTTTCTATTCAGAACTTGCACTAATCTGACAGAATCAAATCATCCTCAAAAGTCAAATCACTCAAAAAAACAAAAAAAAAACATTCCTAAACTACACACAATCTTCTGTCAGAGAACACGTATCCCACAAAAATCCTCCAAACTCTAATTTCCCAGCAAACGCAAACAATGACCATAAGAGACTTCCGATTCGAAATCCACAAACTCTCATTTGACAAATTATCCAACACAAGCTTAAAAAGAATGGAACTTTTCAGCACCCAAAACAGGGAAGAACTTGACTCAATTCCTACCAATTATATAAAGACAATTTTAACTCCAAGAAATCAAACAAGTTGTGTCTTTAACACCAGATTCCATCCCTTGAAACCACTCAATTGCGAATAAAAATCAAAACTTTGAAATTCCAAAAATTGGAAAGAGGAGAAAGAGAGAGAAGCAAAGAAGGAGGCAAAGAGAGGAATAGTAGTTACCAGACGCTTTTCTTGGATAGTAGATGAGAAAATCAACTTATGGAAGAAAGGGCGTGGCATGTTCAGCACAACAGTGACGAAGTAAGAAAAAGAAAGAAAAAAAAAAGAAAAAAAGGAAAAAAAGAAGAAGAGACGACCAGAGAGAGAGAGAGAGAGAGTCAGATCATGAAACGACGACGGAGAATAAAAGGACAGAGACAGAGAGAGAGAGAGAGAGAGAGATCG